AATCTGGCCCTCACACAAAAGTATAACATCATCAAACAACTCGTAGGTCTCTGGAGCAGGTTGAAGCAGAGATATAACAGTGGTTGCATCAAGTGCATGAGTTGAATGCTTAAGATATTTGATGATTTGATAAGTAGTTGAACTGTCAAGCCCAGTTGATATTTCATCCATGAACAGAACTCTTGCTGGACCTACTAGCAATTCACCTGGAAATCACAGTTGCTTTATTAGCAAACAGCTTTACCCTACTAGTGCACAAGAATCCCCCTTCAACCTAAAACAAATTTAAAAAAATAAAAGAAGTATACACCTGTAGTGAGCCGCTTCTTTTGCCCCCCTGAGATTCCCTTAAGCATTTCATCTCCTACCAATGTATCAGCACATATGTCCAACCCTAAAATCTTTGTCAAACATATTTTAGTACCTAAAATAAATCTAATAATAAATCAAGATATATCTTCAAGATATTAATAATAAATCAAGATACATCAACCAGTCAAATACTCAAAATGAACATGTTAATGGATATGCATCTAATAATAACCAGCATCGAACAAATACCTTCATGATGTACTCCACCACAAGGCTTGTCTCCTGCCCCCCAAGAGCTAACGACTGGAAAACAAAGTATCAGCAATCATTACATGTATAAAGGAATCAACATATTGAATAAGTACTCGTACCTTCATGAATATATCAAGATCTCCATCGGGTTTTATCCCGGATATCTTTTCTCTTCTTGCAAGTTCTAATAGCATATCTGTGACAAAGTTTTCATGTCAGCATCTAAACAAGCACCACACCTACACAAGTACCTAATTTCCCAAAGCTTACCATATTTAGTCCCAACACCTTGGCAGCGCCCCGCAAACTCAAGAGTTTCCCTTACAGTCATCTCTGCCGCATGCCAATCCTGTTGACTGACATAAGCAGACGTCCGCTGAGGGACAAACTCCTTTAAGACATGGCCGTTATATGTGACGCTCCCTGATATCTTCAGAGTGATCAAAGTACAATGAGTTAAAGAAAATGTCGAAACCAGATACCGATTATTAGGATCTCTGTGGTTCAATTGGATACCTGCAAACCAGTTCCAAGTCGTCCAGCAAGAGCCAATAGTAGCGTCGTCTTTCCGGAGCTTGGTGGACCCAATAGTAACGTCAATCTACAAAACAACACCAACACAGCTTGTTAGACGTAAACACTGGACTGAAAACTCATCAATTGAGAACTAGCTGATGCTAAAATACCTACCTTGAAGGTCTTATAATCCCGTTAATGTTGTCTAAAATAGTTAATTTGCTTCTCTGGGGCCTGTATATCCGTAATTGCCTAAAAAGGGCCTAAAATGGCATCCAGATAATGCAAAGGTTATTTTCTTTTTTTAACAAGCGCTCAATCATGTAATTGAACAAGTTGCATTCAAGGAAATTAACTGAGAATTTGCATGAAGAAACTCTACCTCCGTCATATTGAAAACGAAATTGGGAATAGTTGGCAGTGCTCTGCTTCCCACGTGGACGAAAGCTTCGACTTTCAAGTTCTGAAATCGAACCTCGATCTTCGGAAGCTCCAAATCGACTCTACACAAGCCAAATTTTGACAGAAATATTTAGAGTAAATAGCATGAAGCCAAAAAACAAAGTAACGAAATTAAGAATGACAAAAAGAAAATCCGTTTGGCTGCTGAGAAACAGAGAAAACAGAGACTTCAACACTCGCATTTGGGTCTGTATAGTAAAATCAATTTATGAGATACTAAATTTGCTTTCTTTGCTGATATTTTCTCGGCAGCCAAACAGAGTCATTCGAAGTTTTTGTCCAAGAAATTGAAGACGATTACGCTTCGAATCTGCGTCGCATGCGATTAAAGAACCGCTCGGGATCATCGTCGGCGGAGCTCACAAGGCGGTCGAGCAAGAGCTTCTGCTCCTGAGCCTCGAGCTCGCTGACGTCGATCTCCTTAGTGTCTCCGGCTACGTCCCTGAAAATGCCACGTCGGACGCGGGCATAGGTGGGGAGCCTCTCGAGCGCGGCCCACCGGAGCGCATCCTCATCCTCCCCTTCCTCCCTAAACGACGATGTTCGCGCGAACGCGTTCTCCGCCGAGTTCCACATCGGAAATCCCAACCCTATCTATGTCTGCGCAGCGTCCTGAAACCGTTACTAAATAAAAAGCTCTCCCTCTCAGAGTCTTGTGGCTTAGACTGAGAGAGAGAGACTAATAAAAGTAGGGTTTGAATGTGAGGTAGACAAATTTGATTGCTGACAATAGTGGTTGAGCTCTGCATTTAATAGCTCTCTGTAGAGAGTCTTTGTGTTTGTTGAGCTCTCTCTCTCCTCTTTCTCACTGTAGAATACATTGTGCACGTTAAAGTGTTTCACAGTTTGTGTGCAGGGACGGGAGAGACAGAAACAGAGGCTCATTTAATGGCCGCGGGAAAGACATAAAGCAGGAGGCTTGTTTCAAACGCGAACTCGCTCGTCTATTTGAATAAACTCTATTCGCCCTGAAATCGAACCACCCGACTTCATCCAACGGCTGTTATTACACCAAGTAGAAGACCGTTGAGGTTGCAGGTTTGGCGCGTGGGTTGGTGGGATTTTACGTGGCAATTTGAATGAAACGGCTGGGAAGATGGGTTTTGCTTTTTTTACTGCCGTGTTGGGTGATTTCGAGTAAAAATAAAACGGCGGGTGAGGTGTTGGTACAGTGGGGCCGTTTTCCGTAAAAGTCAAAGTTAAGAGGCAAAAAGGTTGACGTTTTACTTCTTAAACCGAAGCAGAGTAACTGACCTTCTTCCAAAGGTGAAGGCCAAGAGCCATTTGCCTTTTGTGGCCATTACGCACAATACTCGTGTTTTTAGTATCAGCTATCAGCTGCCTGCAATTCTTTGTCTACAGGTAGCGTGAGAACTTCATTTCATGGAAGTTCTTGCTTACACTTACACATACTGGAAGTGACTAGTGCATGAGAATAGTTTTTTGGTTAATTGTCCTTTTGTCTTGTCCTGTGTATAATATATGATATTTGTTGAAATTCTGAGCCCCAGTCATTTTCATCAACCAAACATCTTTAACAATCTGTCTACTCAATCAAATCTGCGAAATTTTAATTTATCACACTCAACTACCATATAAGAACCTTTCATGCCATATACTTTAAAATTATTTCCAACTTAGGGTAAATTACTCAAATGGTCCTCAAATTTATATTCGATTTACATTTTGGTACATTAATTAAATTATTCGTTCAAATGGTCCATCAACTCTATATTATTCGCTTCATTGGTCATACCGTCTAATTTTCTGTTATGGGGAACTTGAACCCCAGAACCATTGAGAGCACACAAAAGGCATGCTTAACTGAGCCAATCCAACTAACACCCAATTGATCAACTTCTAACTATATTTATAAGAGAGGACATGTGTTTAGTCAACAAATTTAAACCTGTAAATGTGTTTAGTCTAAGAAACTAGAATATGGAATTACTGATGGTGTCTTACCAACATAATTGAGCATAAGTACAGATGTTAGCTATTAGCTACAACCGAATTGAAGCCCTGCCCGAGTCTCCCTGTGCTGTTTACTTAAAGCCGTTAATAATGAGTTGAGTGTAGCTGCTAACCTAATTTCTCAACCGATTGAGACACTTAATAAGAAACTGCATTTTATTTTATAATTTGGTTATTGATGAGCAACTTAAATTAAGCTGACTTCTAAATTTATATTTCGCAGAGGCATAGTTTCTACCTTCTCTTTTATACAAGAAAGCTTAGGATTAAATTCTGCCTCCATTATGGACGAGAGATTTATATCCGTACAGAAGGCCATCTCAACAAACATCTCAGAAATAAATGAGTAAATAAAGATAATTTAGGGAAAAATTTCCTGCCAGTTGCATATTCCTTTTCCCCTATAGTTGGCAACTTGGTATATGGCGTTGGGGATATTAATGGTAACTTAATGCAGGAGGCCCCGCACTGGAAAAAGTAACACCAGTAGCACACTGCTGCTGCTCTGTGATCTAGAATAAAAAAAAGATAAATCCATGTGACCTATATCTTACATGTGGTGAGATTTATTGCTATGGTTTTTATTTATTTATTTATTATTTTATATTTAATGTTCATAACTTCAAAGAAAAATTGTCTGATCAAACCATAATATCGAGCATTTCCCCAACACAACATGATCAATTCATGCATCGTGATATATACGTCCCCTCTCCTTGCAGCTGCCTTTGCAGTTTATAATATATCAAAGGCTCAAGGACCTTCCTTCTCTCATTGTCTTCTGGTTGGTTGGTGAGAGTAGCTCACGAATTGGTAACCGACAATTAAGATACACGAAACTACATGGTAATTAGAAAACCACATATAACAATACATATATATATATATATATATTACACATCGACCACATTCTACTTTCCACATGCACATCTCCAACCGAAATCAAGTGCCTCTAAATGATGCATAATTCATCCAATAATAAATTATAAAAATAATTGATGTAACAAATACACATCGCAAAACTGCTTACTAACATAATCTATATAGTATTTCTTTTAAGTGTGATGCAATGAGGGTCATCCGAGAATTATGCCCTCTAACTAATTACAACCGGTGACACCTAAACTTCTCACTTTATTGAGACATGGCATGATGCCCCACTATTTTTTATTTTATTAATTATTTAATAAACCACCTACGTGCCCTGCCGGACTTGATCATTCTATACCAGGATGGCCCAAGCCCTGCCTACGGCCCACCAACTTATACACCTCCAAGAACATGGACCTGCCCTTGTCCTTTGCTGTTGGGTGATGTAGGCCCTTTTTGGTCCTCGGCCCGTTGGCTCCACATTCTCACCAAAGCCAAGACGACGACATTTCATGGCCAACATGGGACCACATCCTGCATTGTTCGTTCTCTGTTGCAATTGCAAAAGCTAAGAAAAGCCCCAAAATCAAACGCCGCGCAAACAGGCGCTAAAAATGGAGGAGAGCTCCGGTGCTTCAGACGCTGCAATCGAAACCCTAAGGAGCAGGGGATGGTGCTTCGGCGACCTGGAACAAGTGAAGGCGATGATCATGATCCACTCCGCTTTGGCCGACGACACGCGTACGGTGGTGAATTCAGTGGAATCGGAGCTCACCAACATGGACCTCAAATCCATCTCCGCCAAGTCCTTGCCCGACCCGAATACTCTCCGCAAATCATCTCATCTTCTCGGCCCTCAAGTCCTCCAGGCAATTACACCTCTTAACTCTCTCGTGTATTTTTATTGTTCTCGGTTTGGTTGCCGAGAAAAAACATAAAGACAAAGAAAAATGCGGTCTTCGTTTGTGTTTTTATCAGATAGCTTGGGTTAGAGACATTACCAGAAGCAGTGTGGAGGATTTTGTGAGAAATTCAAGTAGTCGGCGTCTTTTAAAGCTTGGGCTGACAGACGGCCACAGCGAGGTAGCAGCTGTAGAGTACTCTCATATCCCATCAATCCCTGACGACGTCGTTCCTGGTACAAAGGTACTTCCCTGTTGCTTCATGCTAGCTCAATGCTCAGCTTGCGTTTTATATCTATGTAAATAACTTAGAGCTGTCATTGATTGAACATATTTTGGAATTTGTCTTCAGTTTAATAGCAAACTAATAGAAATTGAGCTGCACAATTGTGAATCCCATTGGAAAACTAATAATTTATTATATATTGGGCTTGATAAATCCAAGTGCAAGACAAACATACTTAAATTATTTCACTTGAGCTCAACAATTCGTTATCCCATATGTTACTTTTAGCTCAACATTCCAATGGATGAAATTTCTAAGTTTGACAGTTAGTCTGTTGATTACCATTTTGTGCGGAACACAAGTACTTTTGCAAGAGATATGATGCCAGTTTGAAGAATCTGTCACACTATGCTTGGGATTTCCCTATTCCCTACACGCTACAGGCTGTGTTTATTGTATGTTACTGGTCATGTGAACCTATTGGAACAAGTTTTCAGTGTCTCTCTATTCCCTATTTCTCAAGTTCATGGATAACTGGTGCATATATGAAGGTCACATCTCTTGTTAACTGAACATCTTTTGTTTGTCCTGCTTTTGATTGGCAGGTCCGTTTGGAAGGTAGAGCTGCTATGCGTAATGGAATAGTATGTTTGAATCCTAAAGTTGTGACTTTGTTGGGAGGCGTTGTTCAGTCACTTTATGAAGAATGGCAGATGAATAAAAAATATTCAGGTTTTTCCCGCTCATCTTTAAGGGTTTCACAGGAAAGTGACGGTAACGGCCCCCCTCCGTTTGAGAAGTTGCAAGTTGGGGTACCCAAAAGTCGGTTTCCTCAGCAGGACAAGTCTTCTTGTCAGTATTCTTGAGCTCTTAATTACATAAGATTTTAATAGTCTATGTCTTTCACCATAATGTTCAGATTGCTAATGCATGCATAACTCATGAGCAAGATGCAATCATTGGCAGATTACTCTGAGGTGAACTCCAAGAGCAGTGGGCCTATTGCCAGAAACGTTGAGGTTAGGCCAATTGGAAGGCAGCAGGACCTTCATTTGAAATCAAATGACGTGGATAACTCTGATAAAAAGAATGACACAGATAACAAGCTTACGACAGATTCCCTTGATGAACAAACTCAAGATAAACCTAGTAGCTCTGCAGCGAGGCCAAAAGAAGGTGGATCTTCATTTTTAAGTCCAGCTTGCAACTTTTTATTATATTTTATTATTATCTATGCTGCATCTGTAACTCATATAATTTAAGTTTGATTTTATGTCACTTAGGGAGGAAAGAATGGGGGGAGGGGGTGTGGCAGGTTTGTTGAATGATTATTAATGATTGTTACTAGTGGGGCATATGTGCTTGTAGATGAGACAGGTGGAAGGTGTCAGAGTAATACTTGAATCTTAAAATGGAGAATTTATGCTCCTCTTTAAATTTTGTCCAGATCAACGGAGATGTAAAATGGACTAATTACAAAATTCACACAACTGAATTCAGTTAACTTGTGTATTTATTTTATTGTAAATGTTCTACGTTTCTGTTTACTTTGTAATGTGATACTGATGTATCCATGGCTTCTACAGTAATTGAAGCTGTCCCTGTTCAAAACCAAGCGGCTGCACAAAAACTCCTCCAGAAAATGAGTCATCAAAACCGGGATGACAGGCATTTAAGAGGTAGACAATATAGAGGAAAGGGGAGGCAAGAGGAAGAGCCTGTGGTGTTCACTTTGGATGAATGGGAAAAGAGGAAAGCTGGAGCAAAGCCTTCAATAAGAAATCCCTTTGCACAGAGCAGTCGTGACGAGGAACTTGCAAGGCAGCTCCAAAATCAATTTGATTTGGAAGATTATAATGTCAGTGCTTCTGCATCTTATGAGCATTATTATTGTCATTGTTGTTGTATTGCAAGTATTTGATGTCATTATGCTGCAACTTCAGGTACAAAAGGGTCCTCCTCGTGATGTGAATGCAGAGAATATAAAAATGAGCATGTTTAACTTCCAAAGAGATGACGACGGTGGTCGTGGAATGGGACATGAAGGGAGGGGAAGAGGAAGAGGAAGGGGGCGGGGGAGGAGTAGAGGTTGGGGGAGAGGGAGAGGAGGATTTCGTTGACGTTTTAAAACCTCATTTTGTTGTATTCTCATCAATTTTGTGTGTGTGCCACTGCCAGGTAGTTTTTTTTATAAATATTTTTATTTGTATATGGTGATGATGGTAATCTTAAATTTTTGCTGGTTTAGTTGCAGTTCCACTGATTGTGGTCTATTTCTATTGTCAACAAGAAGCTGTCTTCTTCTTCATTGTCTGGGGTGAAATTAAAGCCTAAATTTTTGGGCAAAATGAAATGATTCATCAGCCTCGGCCAAGAATATACTCTATCTAAACACGAAAAAGGGTTGGTTTACTTTGCATAGCCGTTTAAATCAACTTTCTGTGGGACCAATCACTTATTTAGGAAAAAGGGAAAATAAATCAACTTTCTGTGTGCCAGCTATAGACATACTGTGGCGTGATTGCCATGTGTTTATCATATGGTGTTTCTCCATTAAAGAAATTAGGTGGGCTTAATTTTTCTCTTAAATTGGATGAAAATGTGGAGGGAGTGACCAATTGAAGTGAGGTCCACTAATGGTAGCCTGTTTTAATATTTTAATTTCTAGGTCACCTCGTTCTCAATAAAATAAATAAAAAGTTGGGCCAGTGTAGGCCGCCAAAAAACGAGCTTAGTGCATAGCGTGAGCACGCATTCTTCCCACTCTATCCTTTTGTTTCCTTTCCACCACAATCGTGAAAACAAAAATTTACATGCTTAGAGCCGCAAACATGGATAAGCTCGTAATCCAACCGTTAATCGCCCTTGTAATCTCGTCGTTGATCGCCGCCAGAGCCTACCGTAGAAAATCCCTGGACCTCTCAGGGGCAATCGCGGGTTTTGCTGTCATGACCATTCACATTGCAATCGGATACAGGCACGCCGATTTTCTTTCCTCTTTTTCTTTCTCTTTCTCTGCATCCAAATCCCCAAAGGGCGAATGGTTTAATAAAGTTTTTCATCTTTGTAAAAAAATTTGAAGGTACGGAGCTCTGTTGCTCGTGTTCTTTTTCACATCGTCAAAGCTGACCAAGGTTGGTGAAGACAAGAAGCGTCGCGTTGACGCTGATTTCAAAGAGGGCGGTCAAAGAAATTGGGTACAAGTTTTATCAAACAGCGGGATTGCTTCAGTCTTGGTTCTTGTTCTGTGGGCAAAAACAGGGTTGCAAGACAAATGCTTGGACTCGAAAGAGTCGGTTTTCATTACATCACTGATTGGTGGGGTTATCGGTCACTATGCTTGCTGCAATGGAGACACTTGGTCTTCTGAGCTTGGAATACTTAGCGATGCTCAGCCTCGGTTAATCACAACCTTCAAGGTTCGTATGCTCAACTCAGATTTTAGTGTTCTTCTCACTTGGGTTTTTGGTCAAATCAATAATTTTGCTTATGTGAGTTTTGTTCTTTAAGAAGTTTGGATTTTTCCCTATCTTGTTCTGCCTTGCTGCATATGCCCTGCTCTGCGCTTCGGGCTTTATTTCGAGCTCACCCATTTATTCCTACACATTAAAGTCTTGCTTGTCGCAATGTTTTTGACGGCTCTCTTCTTGATACTTACATAGTAAACTTGCCCTTTAACTCAATGTTAAAAAGAGTACATGTATCATTATTGTTTACCCCATTTCACATCTTTCTTGTAAAATCTTATTTCACATTCTTGCTATGCTTATGAGTGTCATTTGTGCATCTTTTATTCTTTTGACTGTTCTAAAGATTTACCAATGGCCTCATAGACTAATGTTATTAATAATTTACCTTGCTTTCAAAGTTGAAGATGTGGGGTTTATCCTATCACGATTGGGATTTACAGGGTTATGGGGAAAAATATTTGGCAGGATAGAAGAAAAGAACTTAGCTGGCTGCTTGAATAAGTACACTGTGGATACTAATTTGGTTTCCACATTGTTGGCAGCCTGTTCGGAAGGGTACAAATGGTGGAGTTACAAAAGCAGGATTACTGGCAGCTGCAGCTGCAGGCTCGGTTATTGGACTCACATATGTGGTCTTTGGATTTCCCACTACAAAATGTACATATGATGTAGCACTGAAGCAGCTGTTGGTGATACCCATTTCTACTCTTGCCGGACTATGTGGCAGCCTCATCGATTCTCTTTTGGGAGCAACACTGCAATTCAGTGGATTCTGCACTGTTCGTAATAAAGTGCGTTAAGGCAAACGTGAATCTTATGTTTTCATGAAGGCAACAATTGAATCTGCATAACTCTTTAAGTTCATTCTTTCCACTTTCTGCTCAATTAATCTCATTCCAACTCTTTTTTGTTTTCTTTTTCTAGGTTGTTGGAAAACCAGGGCCAACAGTTAAGAAAATTTCAGGTCTTAACTATCTTGACAACAATGCTGTGAATGTTGTGTCAATACTACTGACAACAATTCTCACTTCCATTGCCTGCACTTACATCTTTTGAAATTAACCTGCTCAACTGAATGATCATCAGCTCAGATCATCCATGTACCAGCACCTTAGTGCGTGTCCTTGTAAACCATGATTTGAAAAAGAGTTTTCTAAATGCTAACCTACTGATAAGTGGACTTCACAGAGTGTTTGAGGAACTGATACTTCGAGATGGATTAGTGAGTTAAGGTAAACACTGGCTGTGATACACAATTATGTTACACGAAATTTTAAAGCATGTGTTAGCGGATAACGATGGTTACTGTATCTTGCTCAACATATATTGGGGATATAGAGAACGTGTGCATTTAATTTACTTCTTTTCCGTCGTGCATATTTTCTGTCTTCTAAACCAGTAGTGTTCTGTACGTTTTTCAGCTGCAAAACAGGCAGCAGGGTGGGACTTAAGATCATTCTCTTGAATTTTGTTTATTTTTCTGTTGGCCGAAGTTTCCGAACCGTGCCCAGCCCTATTTAATTTAATCGTGCCTTACAGCAGGTGCCCTACATAATCATTGCATGTCTCGGATATTATTGATAACCAAAAATTACATGCTTGTGAAAAGATATGCTGGTTAAAAAGAGATGTGTATGATAATTAGTTTAAGGTGTGCTGGCAAAGGAAAGTAATCATCGAATTAGATATCAAAATATCGTACTGATCACTACATATTTATTCCTTATTCATATACATATTACAGGTGCATATATAAGCTCAAATCTAAAACGGAATTGAGGATTTCATCCATTTTCACCGGGAAAACGGAATTATTTAAAGAAGTCTATGTCTTCCCCTAAAAACCAATTACATAATTTATTCATGAGAAATATTTCTCCCCTCTCCATCTCTAAAGATGAGATAGTAAATAACTTACTTATAAAGTTATCAAGAGCAGGAACAGCAAAGTATGTCTAAACAACATTCACAAGTCTCATAGCAGCAGAAACAGCAACACAGTGCAAACAAACTGCATCACAACAATCACAAAAGCAAGGGGGAAAACAATTATGTATGTATATATAAATTCAGTCGAAAAAGGATGAGTAAAAGGGTAACTGACTGAGTTCATACTAACCTAGCATAGAGGCAGCCTTTCTCCTCATTGCGCTTTTTAATATGCTCAACACTCGACATTTCTTGATACCCTGGGGGTGCATCCATTCTCTCTTGTTTCTTTCTCCCACCAAAAGCAACACAGAAAAACAGAGAATGCTGATAGATTTCTGTGCAACAACAAATTGAGGCTTACAAATTCGGATGGATGATCAAAGCCAACGACTTTTTGTCATTGAATTGAATGATGGTAGTGTCCCATTTGGTATTAATTGTTGGTCCCCCCATGTTATATCTATTATCCGATTCCTCCTCATGCATAACTTGTAACACAAAAAAAAAAAAAAAAAAAAAAAAAAAAAAAAAAAAAGAAAATATTTGGCTGGTACAGCTTGTGAGTTGTAATTCATAAATTATAATTATATCATCAACATTATACGGCTCGTTTCATTCATCCCCTTCATGATTCTTCTGTATGAGCTTCAGTAGGTAGGTGGACGGGCACTAGACAGACAGACAGACAGACATAAATACATACATACATACATACACACGTACATAGGTATCTCTACACATTCTTGCAGACCATGTGAGGTCACCGTCCAAATGAAGATGGAAGTCAAATTCCAATGGCATGACCAGCGGGGCTTCCCGTGATCCAGCTTTATCTTTCCATGAATGGATCCCTACTAAAAGATGACACATCATTTAGCATTGGAATCTAGATTTATAGATGACCCTTTAATGTGCAGAAGAAGATCCAAAGTTTATCAACTCTAAATGCCTTTTTTCACAAGCAAGACAAAAGCACTAACACAATAACACAAAAATCTGTATCATACATCAGTGAAAAGTTGCTCCAAAAGTCAGTGTAACAACATTTAGATTTATGAACTTCACCTAGTACATGTGATTCCGTGCTAGCGCAGGTCAAACATGTTGTCCCAAACCCGAAAACTACCCACCTTCCAAAAAAAAACTAAATGGGGAGGACATAAATTTAGCTATACATCTTTTGGACATTGCAAAGCCAATGGCTTAACATTCATAAGCAAGATCACCATCTAATTAATAGGGAGACAAAATACAACTTACAAAAGATAGGCCACAACAAACCACCCTTCTGTAAAGATACAAGATGTGTCAACAAACATAACGTCAAGCAAAAGGGTCCCTTACGATCTTCTTCAGCGCAGCAGGATCATGATCAATACAATTCAAAACAACATCCAAGCACTAACACGAATCCATTAGTCATCTCTTGGTCCGATTCAGAACCTAATTTTTGATACTCAATTAGAGCTGTCACATTATGCATGCCAAATTCCGTTACTTGAGAATTTAGCAGACAACAGGACAAGTAGCAGGCTTTATCGGAGCTAAAAAGTTACAAGCTACAGGTTGGACACCAGCAGCAGTTTCCAAGCGTTCCCATGTTAACCTGCGCTTCTCAGCTGCGGCGCTTGACCTTATATCTTCCTCCTCCAACTTACATTGGCAGGCAAGTACCAGCTCCTCATCCATATCGCTAAACATCTTCTTCACGTTCAGCGTCAGGTTCAACACTGCTTGATTCCAGTGGTTTTGGGTGTTTCGCGCAATCGCTGGGAAGACAAGCGGCAAGATCACCTGGCGGTTATGCGCAATAAGGTTAAGGATGTGTTCATTGTTCCACAGCAAGTGAGCTCGTTCAGCCACCTGAAAAGAAGAAAAAATGTCAAAAAGAAAAGGAAAAGGGATGAAATAATACCATTTAACAGCTTCACCTCCCCATTGTGATGCTAATACATGGCTCTTTATTATCATCGAGCAGATTTTCAGCCAAAAAAAAACAAACTACAAAACCAAGAAGTACAATAATTACAATTTGGGCAGGGAGATCCAATCTATGCAGCAGAATATTACCTGGTAATGGGAACTATTGAGGCAGCATCTTATTCGCCGGAACAGTGGGACCATGACCTTTTGGAACTCGTCCATGCTAGTCATTTCCAAAACCTCTTCTAACTCACTCAAAAACATCAACTCCTTCTGGCTATTTGTTACTGGCCAGTACTTCAACAACCCCTTTATTACAGTACTTGCCAACTTCGGATCCTTATCTATAAACTGTACAACACAATATGTCAATTGCTGATGATAAATACCCACTGACTTTGGTTTGTGTAGAGGAATCAGAGCCCTCCACAAAAATATCTTGTGTTCCTCCTTCAGTGGCAAAGCAAACCCGCTAATTACACTCCCAAAAATCTCCAACAGCTCCGAAATTCCATTATGCCTTTCAGTTTCGAAAACAAACCGATATATGATATTGCTGACAGCTTTTCGTATAAAAGGTCTGTGTACCATGAATTTTCCATAAATCCTATGCAGAATGGTTTTCAAACAGTCTCTTTCTCTTGGGTCCTCAGAGTCAAAGAGATCAAGTAATTTTACGATAAAAGAATGATCCACATGCTTTTTCGCCACCTTTATGTCAAGTGAACTATAACTGATAAACCGAACCAGAAGATCATACACAATTTGCAGATGTGACCAAGCAGGATCAAACAATGGTTCTTCATCGTCTGTTTCACCCCCAGTAAAATTAGATCGGTATTTAGGTGGGAAAACTCTAAACAGGTTCATTGCACACATCTTACACAAGGCAGAAATCGCTGGTTCACTGAACTTTGCAGATCCAGAAGAAACAAAATCAACAAGTTCTATCAATGTTTCACGTTTAAGATCTTGCTTAACTGGATCACTGGAATCAATGAACTCGCAGCAAAGGTTCAGCTTGCTGATAAACAGATTATGCTTCTGTGGATTTGAAACCTCTTTGAAGGATAGATGGGGCTCTACTGCCTCAGCTCCAGCTGCAATGCTTGATGGGAAAACTGCTGAAGACACCCGTTTGACAACATTTAATTTGCTTGTAAGAGAACTGCCACCAATTGTACATTGGAATCCATTGCCCAAATTGGGAGTATTGCTGCCAGAATCACTCCCTGCAGAATCTAATGAATCAGATTTTGGCGACTTGCGGGGGAGTTTGCTTAGAATTTGCTTAAGCATGGTGGAACTCCTGCAAAATCCAGCCAATACGTTACATGGATTAAGTTGTAGCAAACGAATCAATACATCAATACATAAAACTCTCAAACAGAATATCATTGAGCATAGCACAAGGGTTTATACTAGGATTGTTAAAAGGCAACAAAAGACTTCAACTGCATAAGTGGTAACTGGAAATGAAAGACGGACTGAGCAGAGCACCACTAAACAAGTGTTCTTCAAATCAGAGTAATATCTACATGACCATAGTTCATCAGTAAAATCTAGACAGAAAGCCTACGCAAGTAACAACTGAAATGAATCTTTCACGCCCTTTGGCAGTAGAGTTGCCAAGTAACTAATGTCATTGTCCAGCAGATGGTAAATCCAGATCAAACTCAAAAGCAAATAATTCAAAACATGAAGAATTTGTATACCAATGAAAATCTAATAAATATTCTAAGCTTACAAAAGAAGACATCAACCAGACCAGACCATACCAGACCAGAAAAGAAAGAAACAACTAATTAGCAACAATTATAAGATAATAAAAATAATAAATGCATAAAGTTATTAGATTTTGGTACAGCAACCAAATTGGTCAATAGAAACTCAGATCTGGAACAAAAGTATGAGAACAAAAAGAGAATTATAACATAGATCTACACTGCAGCACACGTACTCGACTGACGACCAAAACCAGATCAGAAATCATAAAACCCTCTTAAAAAAGAAAACTTGGCCATGATCTATACAATGCATACTCTGAATTTATGTTAAAGATAAGAACTTGGAAGTCTCTGCACTTTAGCTAAACTAAACATTCAGAGAGAGAGAGAGAGAGAAACCTGTTTTTGAGCTGCTGGATATGCTTGAAAAACAACACAGAGAGACCTTTTTAGCAAAGGAGAGAAGCACAGAAGGAGCTCATGATAACCTCAAAACTACCCAAAATGTAATTTTGGTTGAGAAAGCAATTTACTTTGAAATAAAATTAAAAAAATACATACGGCAGGCAGAGAAAGGCTGTGTTTGGCTGTGGAGCTGTCTCTTTTCGAAATGATTTTGATCCACTATTTCCTTTTATGTTGGACTACGGAGGGACCTCCATGGAAGATCACTAAGAGGTCCTCGATACAAGAGAATAGGCGGTGTGGCATTTTCTGAGAATTGCAGGTACCAGTCTCCACCAACAGAAGGTAAGGAAAATAATATATTGGGTAATATAAGCAATACAAAATTAAAGTTTGAAACTTTGGTTTCAGTTGGTAAAGAAAGAAATTAAAAATAAAAATGTATGAAAAAACTATTCATAATATTCTCAAAGCTTTGCTTGGCTGAGCTGAATAAGATCTGGATTGGATTTTAATTTGGTAAAAGTTTTGCTATTATTGTACTTGTGGGGCACCGAAAGCAGCCTTATTGTACCAGGTAGCAGTAGCACCAACCTTAGTATGATTTTTTTTTTTTTTTTTTTTTTTTTTTTTTTTTTTTTTATAGGGGTGGTATTTTTTTTTTTTTTTTACTGGCAATGATTTGATATTTGATTTGAGTCCCAAGAAAAAGAAGAGGGTAGATTTGGCATAATCCAAGTCCCAACCTTTACCCAAAAGAAAACACACAAACCACCTCACCTCTTCTGCAGTAAATATTCATTTACTTACTCGGCTTTAGATACTGTTTTCTGGTTTAACTGTGTCTTCTGCTGTTAATCTTCTGTCAATTCCAAAAGGCTGATTCTTTGTCTTGAAGGAAGTTTCTCCATTAAGGAATTTAGTCATCCATTAGATATGTAAGTGGGTTACATATTTTTCATACATACGATTCAATAGCGGCTTAAATTAAAAATCTTTAACCAATCTTTAACATAAAACCCTTAATAAATCATTATCCTTGAAGAAAGAATCTTAAAAAGAACCATTATGTTGGCAAATTTAAGTAAAGGTTAAGTCTTTGATTTGTTCAATTGTTCCCAAAAGACAATGATGGGATCAAAATGATAACAAAATGACAAAATATAGGGCCAAGTCCAAAGTCTTGTTCTAGCCCCCACACACCACACCCACAGGGTGTTCCTTTATAAGTTGGTAAGGAGAGAAAACATGTACATTTAAAAAATCATATACTAAAAGGTCGGAGGAGCTACTTATAAGCAGAGAAGACCAAATGATTCACATAGTAGTAACTTTATTTCTGGTAACTCCAATGTAATAATACATTGCTTCACTTTCTTGGCCGAATTATGCTTTGCCAGTGAAAAAGCTAGCGTTTTAGCAGCTCTGCTTTTTAAGCCAGAGCAATTTTCTCAAAAGGGTCATGGCCCATTGGCCATTCGGTTTGGCCCTTCCATCCCACTGAGAAGAATTCAGAATGTATTCGCTTGGATTAATTTAATTATGCCTTTGCTTTGCTCTGTTTGACCTTATAAACACAGATCCCATTGAGTTTACTTACTCTTATGACACATTAGAAAATGAATGATAGGCGGTGTATATTTAATAATCTTATTTAGGAACACCAAATTAAGGATAATTAATATTTAATGGGGAAGTTATTAATGTTTGGGAGAATTAAACAGCAAATTGCACATGACTTTGATTCAGTACCTGTACAGTGTACAGTGTACTCACTCATTCATGAGATATATGATGATGGTGTCAGCAAACAAAGGTCATGAAAGCACGCTAGCTGTAATTACAATGAAGATCCACTGAAAGACATGAAATTGGAATAAAAAGGTGAAAAGAAAAGGGTACAATCTAGATTTCTCTCTTGTTCTCACTGATGGGAAAAAAAACAGAAAACCAGAAAAAGGAGGGGTCTGTGTTGGATCCTAAACACTGATATGGTCCTAATTAATAAGAAAAACACAGGGCCCATCTAATATATGCACATACATACATGTGCTTGATCACTACCATTCATTTCACTGTGGCAGAACCTGAGACGTCCTTGGAGCTGCATGCAAATTTGCAATGCATATAAATAATTGCAGACATAAATATCAACATATGACAACCTTTTAAAGAAGAAGAAGAAGAAGAAGTTTGCATTAAATACTAAAAAAGGAGAAAATTATTGAGAAACATTTTGTTTCTACTTCTAGTGAAGTGAAGCAGTAGGCCATTAGCTAGTTTACCTATCCCAACAGCCTCTGTACTTTTCATCAACCGAATACGCTTGCATGATTCTATAAACATTCTGCACCCATCATACAAACATGCATATATTTTAGAAATTAATGTCTCTGTGAAGTGAACACGCTTTTATATTTCATCAGCAGCAGTAGAAAATAAAACTCTTACTTCCAAGGGACGTCTCCAACTAACATCCAGTCCCCATCCTTGTCTTCATATGTCACCACCATATATTCATCCATTCCTTTCACTGCAGGTTTCATAAGCTGCTCCTGGTTGCTAGTAGTATCCTCCACATACTTGCCTAATTAAACCATTAACGATCCATATTATTTATTTAACATTTACACACATAAGTAAGACCAAGTAATTAATTATTAATAACCTTGTAATTAGTGTATATATAACAACTAATTAAGCAATATTATGCTCACCGCTTGTAATGGAGGAAGGGAACATTTCGTCTAAGGCTCTCAATAGCTCCTGATAACTTTTGTACATGTCTAAGTCTAGTTTCCGCAAGTAAGGAGCTCCATCTGCACCCACTTTTACATACGTGCTCTTGCTCTTCATCTTGCTCTCCACCAACGCCTTCTGTCTCAACGATCTCACTGGTGGCCACCCAACTACTCTTGCCCTGAATATCAAAACCCCAAACACACACGCTATCAATTGATAACATGTACACGACGACGACACTATAACATATACAAATCCCAGAGAACTCTCATCGTTTAATAAATTCACAGTCTAACAATATAATCATCTCGTCAAATAGTATATAAAAAAAGACAATTTCACCACAAATTAAAGCAACATTTTTATGTGTAGTTACGTTGTAGCTGGGGATTTCACGGCAGTAGTTGTCCTGCTACTTGAGCTGGAGGAGGAGTAGTTGTTGACATGAGCTTCCAACTTCCGATCCACTTTGATTTGGCTACGTGGCTCGCAGCTGGTAAAGCTTTCCAGGCCAATATTCTGATCAACGGTCTCCATGAACCCACGTTTCATGCTGCAGCTACCACTCTTGATTCCTCCGAAGAAATGATCAGCTGCTGACGAAGAACAACGTCGTGGACGACCAGGCAGTCCTAAGGTGAGCTCAGTGTCCTTAAAATCCATGCTTTTGCTGACATCATCATCGTCAACAGCTTCCGGTGGCATGTTCATGTTGATTAGTAAGTATGCTGTCCCAAAATCCAAAATCCAAAATCTAAATGCAATGCTCAAATAACATCAAATGCTGCTTCTTGGTGTTGGGTGATTTTGTAGGTTGTGAACGTGTGGTTGTTGTTGTTGCTTTTGCTGTAGCTTCTATGTACCTCTGTACCGGTACATATACACAGACACAGATATATATATATATATATAGAGAGAGAGAGAGAGAGAGAGAGAGAGTTGAATGAATGACTGGAGGTGGTAGAAAATTGAATGCTAGAGGAGGGTTGCCAATGAGCAGAGGCCACGTGTGGAAGCGCTGCTTGCGGTTGACAAGCATGGTTTGACAGTAGCAGCTTAGAAGTTTGTGCCGCCTGCCGGTACATTCAATACAAATCAGTTTCTGTCACTCTCTCTGAATCAGCTTTACATCCTAAAATATACAATTTAGTCATTTACTTACTAAATTTTACCATACATTGCTGATGCTGGAAATGTCTGTCTGATTGTACAAGGAAATTTCCACATCAGCAATAGTACTCATTGATGTAATGTATTATGTATGTATGTGACAGAGTCAATTTAATGGTTATCAGTTTTGAAGAGGTAACTAATTACACTCTTTGGATGAGCTGGGCCAACTGTAAACTTTGAGGTCAGTTGTTTGAATCCTACTGCTGTTGTTCGAGTTCCTGATTTACTAGCACATGGGTTTTACCTCATCTTCATCCTTCATAACTTGAAACAAAAACAAAGTAATTAGATTCTTCCTCTTCTCTTTAATCAGGAATAGTTAAATTCAAAACTTTACACAGAAACGGATGAGCTACATACATGATGAGTTCTTATAGGATTTCTTGAAACAAAGTTAAAATGATAGAACAATAACAAAATAAATGTATGAATCCTCGTTCCACAATCCACACGTTAATAGACATGGATCCTTAAACCCAAAGTCGTGAAAAATAAACTATAAAACTTAAGAGTGTGGTGGGGGGGATAAGGATATAATGATCCGTAAGCTTAAAGTGTTTCAAGTTTCCAAATGAAAGGATGAAGTATGGCGACAAGCATGTGACAAGTGTTGGAATGTCGGCAACGTGTCGCCTTCCTATTCATCGTATCTAAACTCCAAAAGTGCAAGCCATGAAAATAAGGAAGATGCTGCTGGGCTGAGGTTACAGCTAAAAACTTCTCGCTGTTAAAAACCGGAAGCGGCCCCTAGCTTTATACAAACCGGTTTTAACTCTTCTTCTTTGTTTTTTTTGGTCGGATTCTTAACTTGCGATTAGGTGTTAATATTCTCATTTTTACATTAATCAATTAATATGTTATATAGGATGCGTATTAGATCAGTTATCAAGTCATATCAGTGTCTGTCTTCTTGCATCCGAATTCAATCTCTTTACTTTATAGGTCATCACTAAAACCCTATTACCTCTGGAATCTCACTATTGTGAAGACAATGGTGAGATTCATAGGATTTGACATCAACCGCCAAATCCAGCTGAGTTAAGAGCATAGGATTCATGAGTAGTTGGCACGTGTTATAGATATATACTATAATTAATGTAGTGATTTGCGCCGTTAACTCTAATTAAGCACTTGGGATTGCTGCCTAATCATGTGGGGGTCTCATGCTGGGTTTGAGAGCTTCCAACCTATTTATGTGCATTCATGAGTTGTATTAACAACACATCCCTTAAATATGGGGTTTTTTTATAACAGAATTTTAATATGGGTTTAAGCTTCCAATATATATATATATATATATATATATATATATATATTCTATGATTCCCTTAATTAAAACTCTTTCAGAAATGGCCCACTATAGAAATGGCCCAGAATGACCCAGCCACAGCTTTCAGCCTAAGTACAAAACGAAACCATGCCCGCCAGAACCAAGTGTCAACATATTTTTCTTTCTTTTTTGGGGGTCCCCTTCGTGTTGGAACAATACAAGTTTTCTCTGTGAAAATAAAAAATGAGGCGTCTAATAAATAAAATAAATAAATAAACTGATAAGGTAGAGAAAACAGTGCAAGCCGATGTCATTATTCATTAACGTTTCAGCCGAATTAAACGATCCAAATGTGAACCAAACCAATGAAAAAAATTTCCCATATCTAACTAGAAAAAATGGCCCAAAAAAAAATACACGTCTTGTTTTGTCTTGCCCAGTTTAACCAAGGCAATTAACCTGGAGTTACAGTTACAGCTACAGCTAAGGTTCCAAGTGGCACAAAACCAATAGAATAGAGGCACGAGGAGGCGGGGGAGAGAGAGAGGAGAGAACACAACGGCTAATTACAACGGGACTACATTTTATCTTTTTCGAATGATGACAGATGGGAGAGAGAATATATATAAATTATATATATAGAAAGAAGAAACATATATAAATCCGAGAAACACGAGCAGGATTCTACAGAAGCAATGGGCACACGGCGAGGTGACTAGTGACGATCCATCCAGCCTTAAAAGAACCCAAATATTTTGCTAAGCGCTTTCTGCCGGAAGCTGACCCACAATCCCAAGATTGTTGGCATATTTGGGCCTCCACTCAGTCCTTCCCCTTACAATCTCAGCTCCTTCCTCAAGTCGGAGCAAGTGCTGGCACTCAACGCCGCCATTGCTTCCCAAATTGCCGATATCAGCACCTGAGACTGCAGTCAGGGACTGAAGCACACTGTCCCGCCCGCACTCCCTTCTATACTCCAGAGTCAAAGAAGAAAGCTCGTGACTCTCCAAGATTGGCAAGGGAGCACTCTGCATCAACCAGAATCATCTTTCCATTAGAGGCATGTAAGATTAGAAGCAGAAGCAGTTCTCACAGAAAAATATTGATCATCCATCTATCCAAAAACTTTACATAAAGCATCCACTAACTACTTTAGGCCCGCTATATAAGTTTAATTTCAACTGGTTTTCAGAATCAGTAGACCCAGTAGTACATTGCACACCATCCTCTTGAACTGCTGAAAAGAAGTGAAATTTTCATGGAAAGAAGCCTACCTCAAGGATCCAGCCAATGTACTTCACATTATTAACATGCTGGTTGATATCTAAATCACCCCACCTAGGCTGCAAATAGAAAAGTATCTTTCAGGGTGAGCTAGCAGCTAAATCAATAACAAATTCTGTGCAAAGATGATTGACGTACAGTTAAACCAGTGCGAACAAAGTCCGCTGTCTTGTCGTCAAGTTTCAGCAGTTTCCTGCTGTCCTCCTCCACAACAGGAGGAGAATTCATAAAAAAAGGCTCTATTTCACCTCGAACTTCATCAGGAATTTTGGATAATCTCCTCGTCAGCTTATTCATCATCACCCACACACTGCAAAAGCATCAAATCCCCATCAAATACCATTTAATTGTGCTAGCACACTATATTGCTAGTTGACTTGTCAAAAGCTATCTTGGATCAGCGGCATGTGAGTCATAGAAAACATTTATTTAATTATTTGTGAAAAAAGAACAAGATACCTAGTGGCTCTTGTTAAAATTTGGCCAGTTTTGCAATCCTGGAGGATCCAATCACGACGCATACCATTCTTCCCAGAGGCACTAACCCAAGTGTCAACTTGAACAACGTCACCCCTGCAAGATAGAAACTACTTCAGCCCATCACCATAATAGTCCAATCAAATTAATAAGTAACATACTCTTATTCTCTCATTCAAAGATAAATAATTATACAAAGTAATCAGATAAAACAGATGGCATACAACTTGTCAGTTTAACCTAGTTGGGTGTAGAATTATATATTAGTGCAAACGAATTAAGATTCAGAAGTCATCGAAACCTTGACACTCATTCTTGTATCGGGAGTTTAGTTGGGTTCTACATCAAGCATTTTTCCCCTACCAAAACAACTACATCAACTCTGACAGAATCAGAATGCAAATGCATATGAACACATCACAGGAGCAAGCCGATCAAGTTCATGATACAGTAAACCTTCATGCCAAAATCATTATACACAGTGACAAAAGATAATAAATAGCATTTCAAAACTTCAAAACACAGTGAGGGAAAAAGAAGAATCTTAATGAGAAAATAAGCAATTAGCTCGGCAAATCTACAAATAACACCTTGAATTACTTTTCTGAAACCATACATCAACCATGTGCCCGTGTTTAATATGAATATCAAATTCAAAGGGTAACTTTTCAAGTGTCCCCACTGCTCTTCAAGGCATGATCTCAAATTCCCAGTGCTATGCCGCAAACACATATTCCCCAAACAACTTTGATAGCAACTTCAACAACAAACTCATATACCCAACATCAACAGCAAGCTAGATTGGACAAACCAAGTTACCAATTCAATTGGCTTTTTCCTTGCCCTAAATCTAAGACTCCTACTTTAATTTCAGAACTTCAACTTATAGCAAAACTAGCATGACTTGCTCCAATGCCTAGAGGTAATTTCACAGACAATCAGACAAGTCCTTCAGAGCACCATGTCAGATGCAATCTCGATGACATCAAGTTATATGCTAATTATCTCAAATACTGGTCAATTTTTATCATGTCTGATGTTGTTATAACTTATAACCATCCAGAGATAACAAAAAGTTAAAGATATTTAGAGTAAAATATATCATCAAATTCTTCTTTTAGAGAAAAAAAAAATCATGAAATCCCAAGATGTCATAGCATGAAAGTACACTTTAACACACAATTATACTATGCATTAATAATAATCGTTTTTTAATTAAGAACAAACTAAAATTCTTCTCTTCATGGATTAGCATAAATGAGCAATGACTCCAACAAGGATAAACATAAAAGAACTTTCTCTGTCAGATAATATGGGTTAAGCCTGACAAATCAACAAAGCGTCATTGCAACTGGAACTCAAATAAAGGACTTCAAATTTCAAACTAAATAATGCTGCATCATCTTAACAAAATTTTACAGATACCATGAACTATACAGAATTCATATAATAGATAATAGCAAATCTAGTTGACTTACCAAGTAGGATAGCGGTCTACTACAACCTGCATTTTAGTTACCACCCATATCAGGTTCCTTACTGACATCTCTGGTGTTGAACCAAAGCCATCTCCCAATAGCCCAGCAGTCTTAACATGATTAAGTGCTGTTTCCTGCAGCCAGGAAAGAAAAGTAATTAACATCAAGGTTTGTAACGAAGAAAATGAAATTCAAGCTCAAGCACACAAAAACAGTTACATAACATGCATTTTTTAGTTTTAATCTCTCCACTACGAATTTATATAACGAATGCATCTTCAAAAGCTATAACCATGAAATTGAATGTGTCAAAAACCTGTAAATGATTCATTAACGTCTCTATTGAAGCCGTACGATCAGCACCTATTTCATATGATCTAATTGAGAAGTTTTGGCGGAAGACAAGACCATCCTGAACAATTCTTCCTAAACCAAATGGGTCAATAAGCATGTCAGGCCGCTTGGGTTTCCAATCAAGCATCGTCCATTGCTTCTCCGCAGCCAAGAAGATTGTGGTGATAGCAGCAAGGAGCACACTCCAATCAGGTAATTGGTTAATGAAAGTCCGCGCAGGAGGGGATGACATGTCATCCCCATTCTTCCCACTTTCAACAGTTGCCAAACCAACGCTAGTGCCATTTATCTTTGAAGGGGCTTGAGCATTTGCCTTTACCTGCAAACTGCCCGATGCAGATTTCGATTTGAGTCCTAAACCAGCAGACCCAGTTCCAAGCTTCGCATTTTTGGCACCAGAGTCTTGGTTTGGAGAAGGAATTGGAAAGATCGACGAAGTAGCAGCAGTGGCGACCATGATGACAATTCAGTCAGAGCGAAGGGTAAGCAATCAAGGCACTGCAACAGTAAAATACAAACCGTGTCAATATTGTTTCATAGTAAGGGGTGCAAGAATAGTCAAATCTTCAGCAAAATGCAGAAAACGCCAACATGTTACCACTGCAGACATCAACCTAATAACCGATCAACAGGTCCAAAACGTTCAATAACTTAATTACAACAAACACCGAGAATAATATTCTTCATAAACAAATTACGCTAACAACATTATCTGATTCAGTTTTCAGTACCCAACAAAAAAGCAAAAATTTTTTTTTTTTTTTTTTTTTTTTAGACCATTATCAGAACCATTCTTCGAATATTTTGCTCTATATTCAAATTCGAAAAACATATTATCCTTATAGAACTGCAAAACGGAGGAAGAACAAATAACAATCAATTTGACCCCATACGAAACTGGCAATTAAACTTTTCACGCAAATGTTCTCATCTTCAATAACGGAACTCCAAAAGACAAAACAAAAGTGACAGAGAAACCTAAAATCATTGGGGAGAAAAATGGGTAAGCCACAGAAATAAGAAAACTTTATAAGAACCTTCAAGGAAATTTAATTGCCTCTAAAATACAAGAACTTTGGAAGCACATCGATTAACCTACTAAGGCCTGAAAAATTTAAAATTTTGCGCATATATGCAGAGGAAGTCAAGGTAGATCTGAGCTTGCAGTTACACATAACAAGTGAGAAATCACGCAAATTTCACGTCATAAACCAAAACAAAAACTTGTAAATGAATCAAGAACCATTTTGCCGCTTCGTTCCTCCAAGCAAATAAACTTGTTATTTTGATGCCTTCGGTTGCGGAGAAAATGTGGAAATAAAAGAGAATAATTCAATTTTTCAATTTTTTTAAAATAGATCTCTGATTTTAAAAACCAAACAAAAGACCTCCGCTCAACCAAACGGAAACCGAAACAACGCGGCAACATTTTCATATCATTCTGTTTACCTCAACTTTCTCGGCAACCAAACAGACACACTCCGGATCAGACGTGAAAAATGAAATATATCTGGACCTCCTCGGCCCTTACCTTAACCAGCGAGAGAAATAACCCGAACAAACTCAAAAGGTGTGCAATTCAAAGCAGAGGGGAGGGCTATTGCGTCATTTTGGATCGGAAAACCCTCTTTTTCTGCGTAATTTCTAGGTTTTGTGATTCTTCCTTGGTGTTTCTTTTAGCTTTTTTTCAAAAGCCAAAAATAAAACTGAGAGAAGAGAAAGTGAGAGAGAGAGAGAGAGAGAAGGGATTTAGGGCCAGCGGTTTTGCGGGTGGTGGGGAATTGGCTTCCAGCGACTCAATATATAGTTTCCACCTGGCTTTACTTAAATCCCGCCTCATGTTCAACTTCCAAACTTCTTCCAACACTATTCTCCTTCCATTTACGTCTTTGCCCTTTCCCTTTGTAATATTTTCTCCTTTTCTTCGTAAAATTAAATTGCCATCAATTATTGTTGAGGCACCGTTTATTTATTTTTTAAATTACTTCTTTTTTTTTGCCAAATAAATAACTTTTCTTTTGACTGGGGAATAAAATGTTAAGAGTCCCAGAAAAGTTAGATGATTAAAGATGTTTTTTTTGTTAGGAGTCCCATAAAAATGTTATTAAAATGTTTACAAACTGTCTTTGGATAGAGGGAGATATCCTATAGAATCCTATCCAAATTTTTATTTTCCTAGACCCATAGCTACAAAATCCTCTCTTTTTCATTTAGAAATTATAAATACGAGGCTAATTCGAATATGAAATTCAATATTAGAAATACAAGAATTTCGGAGGAGATGAAACATGAGCTTAAATAGAAGAAGAAAATAAGGATTTGTAAGTAATTAAGAATTTACACTATGCACTCGAGGTTCTGTCTTCAAATTTCTCCACCCAATATCTATGTATATGAAAAACGAAGAAAAATAAGTAAATTAAGGCATGGTCCTTGTTTTTTTTGGTTACCTTAGCACACATGGTTAATGTAATTCAAAGGTGTAAAAGAGTAATTGGCCCACCCACCTTGAAAGAATAGCCGTCTTTTCACACTAGAAGGGGGTTAAACTTGTATGATTATCCATCTTGTAACTTCCAAACATTAACAAGAACATCGTGGCGCCATATATAATATTCAAAAATAAAAAATAAAAAGAAAAGTCATAATAACATATATTAGTTGAGCTACGTATTAGCCATGTCGATGCCAAATTGAAATGCATCCCATGATCCATATCCAAAATTGATGGTGAGTAGCTCAACCATATGTGATGTGTGTGCTTAACAGTTTGAATTGCCAGCTCAAAATATGCTTTTGACACCCTCCTGTCATCTCAAATATAATACTTTCATATAATATAGTTTTTTGATTCGTCAAATATTGCTAGACTCATCGTATATTTTGGAAGTCATCAAAACCAATTTCGTTTAGAAAGTACACCATTTTAATTCTTCCATCAATCACCCCCCATCACCCAACCAACCACACACCACATTTTTTTGACTCTTCAACTTTGTTGGCTTCCCCCCCGTTACATGCAAATCATATTCTTATTTTTCAAAATTGAAACTTTAACGACGCACACAAAATTCAGATAATTTATTTTATATTTTATGTGTTTATAGGCAATATAATATTTATTTATGAGATTTGAATTCAAAATCAGTCACACTCACACAAATGAAAATATTAAAATGCATATATGTGTTAAGTCAGTTGATTAGGATAGTGAGTCAGCCATTACATCTAAACAAAACGATGATTGACTATGTGTGCGTGTGCGTGTGGTGTGGGTGGCAATTTGAATGTTAATACGTTTGCCTGTGGAACTCGCGAGAAGCTAGAAGCTGATAAAACCCAGACGTTTCTTTTTTCCTAACAGTCAAGGCGGACTGCACAACAATAGTGACATAGACGCTACTACAACGGACACAATTCAGTGGCAACTTCGTGATTGTGAGAGCGTGGAAAGAGTAAATTGGTAAAGTCGGAAACAGTTATAATAGCCGTTAAATAGCCTTTTAATTCGTTAATGTTTACTCAGCTTTTGGTCCCCACTCAGTTTCCTTTCACAACCTGTCAACCAGCAATTTTATTGATTCTGGGTCTGGGTGGCAACCAGCAATTAGGATTAAGGGATGGGATACAACCTGGAATTTTAACAATTAAATAATAAATTATGAAATTCAATTATAACCAGCATACAGAAAACGATAAAAGGGTAAAAATTCTGATGTTTGTGTTTATCGTATAAGAAAATTATTAATCATGACTTTATTATTATTTATTTTCATAGAAAAAGGATTTTCATAAAATTAATCGACTGATTGAGATAGTGTATCCAACAGCCATGCCCATGTGAGATTGGATAAGGTGGGGCTGCCAACCAATTAGAATAGCGTAATATATATTACTTTTAGGCTAAGGATTTTTGTTTTTTATTTTTACATTAACAATAGTCAAAATTACTATAAATTAATCTAATATATTATCAATGGAACTTAAACTATATAACCCACATCTATGCTAAAAGCTGAGTGATGCAAATGCAAGTGCTTCTTTAAAAAGCACTTTCTAATACTTTGACTTGGCTGTTTACATCATGCAAGAAGAGGCTCAGTACTGATTGGGAAGGAAGACTGCACCAGCGCCGCCCACTTATCGATTGGTGCATGGGGACTCTCTGTACTGCTTTCTATGGGAGCCATAGGTTTTTGCAATTGCTTTCTGAATCATTCCTCCCCAAACCCATCAAAATGTGTACACGTAATTAATTTACCAATAGTTTGTTGCCACACTTTGCATTTCATCTGTAAGAGTTGGCCGCAAACAGTTATATTTTCATTCATTTGCATAATTTTGTAGGGAGCAGACTCGTAGATTCAGTGGTTACAACTTATACTGGTCAACAAATTATATATATTTTTAAGAGTTTATTTTTGGGTAAACTGGGGACAAGTTTACTGCTAAAAAACCTCTTTATAAGTCACTCATAAATTGTGGCTTGTATTCATGTTAGTCATAGAAAATGTTCTTTTTCCTTTCTTGTGGTAATCAACCAATACATAAATATTCGAGAAATCCGATAAGACTTGGACATTTTAAATTTATTTTCTAAAAAATTAGAGCGACAAACAAGAACAATGAATCAGCTCCACAACCACAAGCGATATCAAATTCAATAGATGTAACATAAACATCTTATTTGCCCATCTACCAACTAATCATCTTATTAATTTGTTTGACTTTTATGTAAACTAGAGAAGTTACGTTGGAGTCTTTCTTTGAGTTTTCCCTAAACCCTGCTTATGAAGTATATATGAACCTTCAATTGAATCACAACGAAAAGATTTATTTGAATTTCCAAAGGGACGGTCGTAGTCAATGAACAATATAATGTGGTTGGGCATGGAAAATTGGAACATGATGACGCTCTTTTGTCGTGTCATTTTGAATCTGCTGTCAGTGTCACACACTCTCACCAAAATCACCATGCAATGGAGCCACGTTACAGCACCTAATTCTAATTGCACCTTAACCCAACTTGTTAATCATAATTATTGCCTTTTCGTGTACAAATAAATTATAACTAGCGAGAAAGAATATTAGATAATAAAAAGGGCGTATAAATTGCTGCTATCATATGCCAACCGCTTCTTAATTTGACATGATGTTTTGCTTACTGTTTTTATATCCTTTTTCTTACTCAAATCAAATGGACTCTTCTGTTGCACAGGTAAGCCGTATTATTAAGTTGAATATAACTATTTTGGTCGAATATTAATGTTGAAAAATAATGCATGCATACGTTAAGACAAGAGCAATACACAGAGAATATATATATAATTTTTTGCGTCAAAATCTTGTCACTTGTCAATATTTTTTATCCTTTCATTTCGACAGACATCATGAGTCTGGTATGCTATAGAACATGCATGTGATGTCATGTGTTAGGGTTTGCATGCATTGATGGCAAACAGTTGAGAGTTAAGAAGAAACAAATAACAATGATAAATTAAAGGATGATTTCAGGTACATGTGGTGCAGAAGAGGAGAAGAGAAGAGCAGATCAAAGTGAGAGGTTAAGGGTGCACACAACACAACTAACGGAAATATAAAATTGGTTTTTGACAAGGAAATCTAAACGTGTTGATAGATGGATGGATCCCGTGCGTAGGGGTTAATGCTTAATGGAGATGGGTAGGTTTGAGTTTGCTCAACTACATATCCATATCTATATCTTCTTCTTTCTTTCTTTCTTTCTTTCTTTCCTTTGAGTTTGCCAGCTTAAATGAAAAGGAAAAGGGCCTGCGCCTAAGCCTCTCATTAGAATTTAGATTACCTCTGTTCCTTCCTGATGCTGCCCTCGTTTGTTGCCTGCACGCTAGGTCGATCCAACCCAAATACTAATCCACCGCCTCTCGAAACTCAATCATGTATAATTAATTTGCTGCGCCGCCGACATTACAGTTTTCACATACCAACCCTAGCTGGCTACGTACTTAGCTTGCTATTGCTAGCTACCCATATCTAATGTACTAATGTAGAACAAGGAAGTGAGCCCCGATCGTCCTTCAGAGCTTTTAAAAGTCTAATAGTTAGCATTCAAGTTTGGTTATCAACAAATAAATAAATTCAAAACGTTCCAACTTTTCAGAATTGGTTATCCGCACTGGAGAATTTTTGTATATATATATACTAATAATACACTCCTATATGTATATGCCTCCAAGTGTTTTACTCAGTTGGAATTTGCCATTTTCCCTCAATATAATTATAGCCACATGCATTAATTGGAAGGCTGCACGTGTGGTACACATTCATATATATATATATATATAGTTAGGTTTTTCTTCTTTTACTAACTTGGAGATTAGAATGCCAAAATTGGATCATTTACTAACTAACTAACTAACTTTTCTTTAAATATTTGCACGTAGTTTGGCAAGCATTTGGTATTAACCTTAATTAATCAACTGGATTGAATTAATTAATTTTCGACCTTCCAATTTACCTAATTAATTTTAATTTGAAATGCAGTGCAGGGTTTGACCTTCAGTTAATAACTTGAAGACGATATTGATATCCCAGAGACTGCAAAAGCCTTCTCAATAACTTGCAGCTTAAAGAAGCATCCATCGAAGTGTGGCTTGAGTGGATCTTTGATATTTTAGCAAGTGATGTAAACTTAGCTATTCGTCTCTAATAAAACTTTCTTCGTTGGCCAAAAAAAAAGAAAAAGAAAAGAAAAGCTAAGCTATCAAATCAAATCAATTAAGGAAACTAGCTAGTTTTATTTTGCAAATATTACCACGCTACCATGATATAACACATTACCTGATCACTTATATATATTAATTCCATTCACACATAACTAGTGGGTACATCACAATCATGTGGGTTTTGAATATATGTTTTTTTTTCTTTTCTATATTGGTTTTGTCACACTGGCTAATTGACAGGACCTGCCCCGAATTTTTCACAAAACCCGAGATGAATCCTGCGGAGACCCCGACATCACACCCATGCCGGGTTCACTCCTTAAAATGGTAACCTCCTTCTTCAAAAGGAGTAAGGGCATGAGACTTTCTGCCGAAAATTCGGCAGAGTCTCCCCTGTAAATTGAACATTTCCCAAAATTTCCACCTGCAAAAAACATAGTTTTATAACCCAACCGACAGCACGCACAATATAATTTCATGCAATTCATCTAATTTGCCTCCGGCCTTCAAATATTCCAAAAAAGAGCTGCCAACAAAGTCTTGAGATAAAAATTTCCTTAAACACGGCAAGAATAAGCTCAAACACACTTACAATTGCCGAAAGCAAAACTCACCACTAACTTTCCCCAATCCAGCAGGCGAGGTTTTAACATGCATCAATTAGCATCTATAAATTATCACCTTTCATTCCAGGGCCTCAGCCCATTATATCACACACTTTAATCAATAGTACACATACACAACCCTCCCTTAGCCAACCGGGAGTATGAACAAAAATCTAAACATACCTCGATTTCAAACGAGTTTCAGGACCAACAACAAGGTCCGCATCACACTCAACAAAACACATTCTCAAACTCTTCCTTTATATCAAATCAACCTGCAACCATACCCTATCCAAGGCGTATGTTGCCACCCATTACTCCCCAATCCGGGACTCAGACCATGCATAACAATGTAGGGTAATCACAAAGCACAACCTTACGAATAAACATATATAAACATATATAAATCCAGAAACAAATCCACGTATAAACATATATAAATAAGCACACCCACCTCTCACCATCATTATGTACCAGGGGAAAACAATCCAATTCAGGGATTGTTTGACTAGTCAACATGGCAGAGCCATTCCTCAATTCACCATGTGGCTAGGGAGCGAGCCATCCAACCGGGGGACTAACTCTCAACCAGCACGTACAGCCGACACAGTCAAAGCTTGTACGCCTGAAATACCAGTCCTACGCGTGCAGACTACCCCAAATCCAGGGTCCACAGCAACATCCCCTCAAGGATGTCTTGAGTTCTAATAACTCCAAAAGTATCCAATGTTCGTAACCAAATGCAGATCAGGGGAGGTACATATGATGATGTACATCATGTATTAGGGAAAACAATCCAACTGGGGATTGTTTGACTAGTCAACATGGCAGAGCCATTCCTCAATTCACCAGAAACGGTGGCCGGATGAGGGAGATCAAGCCGGCGAAGTTTCAAGCGAAAACTGGCCAAAAACCTGCATTTTCTGGCGATTGGAGCGGCGGCCGATGTCGGGGAAGGGCCGGGTCATGACACCGGGGCTAAGCCGGTCATTTTGGCACCGGTCCCGTCCGCATCCGTGGCCGGTGGCCGGAGTTGCGAGGGAGGAGGGCGACTGCTGTCGCGCGGAGGAGAGAGAGAGAGAGCACCCCCGAGAGAGAGAGAGAGTTTTCAGATTTTATTAAAAATTCATTTTGAAATATTTACGATTATGCCACTGAGGGTATTTTGATCGTATCTCTCTCGTCACAACTTCGATTCGAGCCCACTACGTGTCTAAGGACTCATCTCACCACGCTCTACGCAACGGTATTGTTGACATTTCCACATTCCATCCCGATCAAAAAGTCAACTCTAAACCTCACAAAATATTCTAGGGGCAAAATTGTCCTTTTATCTGAATAAATTAATATTCACCAATTTATTTAGGACCGGGTCGTTACACTAATAAAACTTGAAAAATAAAAATACAGAAGAATGGAGATGCCAAAAAAATTAAAGTCCATTCAAGAATGGTCCAATATATTACTTGGGTTTTAACAACCAACTTCATTAGATTGGGACAACAGCGACCCACAATATTGAATTATATGTTATGTAAAATAATAATTGCTGGCATCAATGGAAAAAACAAGGAGCACGAAGGGTCTTTGTGGCAAAGGTTGAGCACCATGGATGTATGTGTTCTGCCGATTTCCTGTCCTCTAATGTATTTCGGTTGTTTTGTCTGCAATATCATCATCTACAAGTTCGGCACAATTAATGCGCAATAGTTAGATGTTTATTTTGGTGAGTATACTGACATGCATAGTTGACTATTGAGAGGAGCTAGTTTCTTTCGGTATAAGCGATAGGGAAGGAGAATTTCTCATATTTACACACACACAATTATGATGCCGTGGGTATTTGAACTTGAGATCTCTGATATGCAAATCAAGACTTTTTTCTATTGTGCTAGACCTCGTTGGCAGAGCTATCTTCAGATAAAAGGGATGAGATATAATTTGTGTATAGCTAGCTATGACAAGAACGGCCATGCTGTAATTATTAGAGTGATGAAGTGCTTGATGTCACATACCTTTTATCATACCAAACACCAAGTTTTAAACTATTTATTAGAAAACACATCTTTAAATAAAGACTCTAAAACACAAGTAGACATATAGAAAGTAGCCTTGTAGTTGTAGCTAAGAGCTCTCTCTTCTGGCCTAGAGAATATGAGGCGGCTCATCTGAGATTTGGAAATGATTGGGCTAAAAGAGGGGTGAAGTTTGCAAATGGGCCTTGTAGTATTTTATTTTTATTGTTACGATACAAGCGATATTCCGAGAGGAAATCCAACACAGGTGCAAGAGTATTTGCTTTGACCTCTCTTGCACCTATGACACCAAGTATCCTATTTGAAACGATCAATTGGATGGAAACATATTTCTAACTTGTCATGCATCTACCAACAAATTTCAATTTCACCAAGTGAAGTGAATTGCAGTTCTACAACTTTTAATTTACAGCAAAACCTGTCAACCTTGTTGTTGTCACTTTGTTATTATAAAATCGTAACTGGAAACAAGCTGTTACGAGCCAGCTGATATCAAACCATTTGTCTAAATTTCCCTACACAACCTCTAATTATCAATTGAACATCAGTGCCATTGAAACCATCATCATCAACAGATATGTAGTCTCAGTTAACTTCATTAATGTTGCTCCACTGCTTGGAGTTGCTTTTGAGTCTGATGGCTTTGAATCAGACCCGGAGGAAGAAGAAGAAGGTGATGTTGAGACAGATGATGATGAAGAAGTAGAAGCTGAAGTGGGTGTAGAATGATGATCATGACCATCAGTTGTGGGCGATGTGGTATAATTTGAATCTGCCTCTTTAAAAATCTTTGCATCCGGGGAATTTGGTGGCAGTTTCAGAATACCTTCAAACAAACAACAAACAAAAATCAACACTACATTATACATTTTATATTGTAACTTCGGAAAATGCTCAAAAATATCTCGTAGTAATTACTTGGGCAATCAGAGATTTTGCCATCAATGTTGCAAGCTGAGGGCATTTGGAGAGCCAAAGTTGTATTGACAGGGAGGCCCATGGAAGGGTCAGTGCTCTCTTTGATGAGAACACATAAGCACTTGGGTTTGTTGGCCTTCACCTTCTTGGTGTTTTCACAGCACTCTGGTGTTGGTTTCTTTGCTGTGCCACTCACAAATGGAATGCAAGCTGCAAGGGTTGCCATCTGCTCTGCACATTCATTCTCATCATCCTCCATTATTGCCATTGATGCCATGGCCAATGAGGCCACCACAATACAAAACACTATCAGTTTCTTGCTTCTCATATTTCTCTGTTTCAGTGGATTTCTTTTTGGGTATTGTGCAATTGTATGTCTCTCACTCTACCAATCTTTTAATTCCCTCTCCTTTTTGGTCTGTTTCTTCTTTTGCTTTGGGGCTTGGAAGAGTGCATGGAGAGCAAGCTTGGTATTTTTCAGCTTCCAATAGTGTTCATGGTTGAATTAATATGCTGGGGGTGCCTTGAGAAATGGGATTGCTCACTCCAAAGGAGAATGAAAGTCAATCTTATGAGCTTGCGATTCCCAATGACATCACTTACTTCTCAATGACATTTCCATTTACCAAAATGTTGATAAAGTGTTTTCAACACCTCAAGTGCTTTATATCTCAATTCTCTAGCTGTTATATTAAAAGACGAAAGTCCATCAAGATTATCTCAATTAAATTTTGTTAGGTTTTAACCTTAATAGCTCTCTCCTTCCGTGAGTCCTAAAGGAAAACTTCATAGAGGGGGAGGAGGAAGAAGCGTCACTGCCCCTCCTCCCCCTCATATCTTCTCGTCTTTTCCTTTTAAGTTAGTGCATAAGTCCACTGGGGCGTTTTGAAAAAAAAACCCCTTGTGGTGGTTTCTTTTGAGCCATAGTTAAATTGAAGTTCCCCATCATCCCTTTTAGTCTATATTCTCAATTAAATCATGCTCCCAAAACCCGCTTCCTAATGCTGCTCATGTTCTCTAAATTTGATTCTACATTGTCTTTGACGGAAGTTGCTGCAAATCACCAAATTGTTTTTTTTTTGGTAAAGTTGTTATTTTCGTTTATTTGTTCACTCTTATACGTAGGTAGATTGCTGGAAATCATATTTTCCCCAGATCTGTTACGGATGCGGAGGTGGGTGTGGCCACAACAGCTCTTCTTCAAGTGGTGGTGGTAGGGTTTGTCTAGGCTCATTAGTTGTTTTACGATTTTGATTATGTAGGCTAGTAATTTTAGTACGACCTTTGTCCGCATTAGTTTTGTTTTTAGCATGTTAGGGCTCGTTTAAGAGTGATTCTAGATATGCCAAAAATCACTTCTATGGAGAATAACTTCTTTATATAATCACTTTAGGTGGTTTTAAATGATTTTATAGAGAAGCAGATGCGAGGTGCTTCTCCCTATAATCACTTAAAGTGATTATACGAAGAAGCATGTGGGAGATGCTTTTCCCCAAAAGTCATTTTGACCTATTCAGAATTACTTCCAAACGAGCCCTTAATTTGTTGTCCTCTTGGGATTTGTATTTTAGATGTCTTGTTGATGTCTTTGATTGTATTGTTGAAGTCTATCTAATGAAATTTCTATTTGATTTTTTTTATAAAACTAATCTATAAATATATTAATAACCTTAAAAGAAGAAAAGAGAAAAATGGGATACCTCCCAAGTGCTTTATATCTCACTTCTCAAGCTGTTATATTAAAAGACAAAAGTCCATCATGATTATCTCAATTAAATTTTGCTAGGGTTTATTAGAAACCTCATATCAAAATGGAAAATTATGTCTTCTAAGAATTTATGCTATGATCAATTCCACCTGGTTACTTCATTTTTGGTTTACGTATCATGTTGAAATTACCACATTAGATGAGGTGTGATCTGTGTTCAAACATGTTAATGGGAAAAAGAAAATACTCTAACCTTCAGTTACTCATGGGAGTTAAAGAACAAGAAGAAAATCGAAGTAACAAAGAGTTTTTACTCATGGGATAAAATGAACATAAAAAAGCATTGAAGAAAATTGCCCTTGATGAAATCACACAAAATTACTTCACCTATATGGAGCAAATAGGAAACAGCTTGACTCAATATACAAGTGGCCAATCCCTCTTTACATGGAAAAACAAATATTTCCTCTCACTATTCTTTCGGAAAATCGCCATAGCTACCAAGTTGTCTACCTCACCAGAGCGTGAGTAGATGAGATAAAAAGTGATAAAACTGTACAGTGTGCTATACAGAAAAAAGTATTGAGTCTTCCCTCTCCAGTAAATGCTTAGTAACGTTTCTTCATTCTGTGTACTATGAAAGCTCATCTTGTTTTCCATTTGATTCAGATATAGGTGAAGCAGTAGGAGGTCTCGATGGTGCTGGTTGTGGAGAGGGAGCCGTAAGGGCATAAGTGAGTCTTGATGATGAACTCTCAATTAGCCCAGCAACTCCGGCGGCAGCAGATTGAGCACTTGATGGGAGGAAAAGATCATGTTTTTGGTCTTTATAAGCACTCCAAATCTGAAAATGGGCAATTTTTCATTGCAAGAGCAACATTAAATATTACTTTCTCACTAAAACTCCGTGATGAACAATCAACAATTTGTAATTTTGATTTCAAAATATGAAAAGATAAAAGTAAGGGTGGGCTCGGGTCTGGTCAGCTAAGACAAAATCCGATACCGACCCTAAATTCTTGGATTGTAAAACATCACAACCCAAAACGACCAAAACCCATGTATAAACCTAGCTGTGGCTGGTTTCATTTTCCCAATCAGGTCAAGCATCGATGGAAGATGCATTAAAAATTTTAAAATTGAATATGAGCAAACTGGGTCCGTTAGTTCAAAAATCAAAATCAAAATAAAAACCATTAGCGAACTGAATTTACCAGGTTGAGTAGGTTTTAACCAATTCAATCCGATTTTTATACAGAACCCATCCAACCCATCGAGGTCAGGTCAATTTGGTCAGGCTATTCGGGTTTACCAGTCGCAAGCAGCAAAGAAAGAGCAGAAGATAAAGATAAGTATCAGGACTTACATCTGAGGAATTTAATAGGTCACGCACTTTAGTGCAATGGGCCCCCTCAGTTGCAAATGCATGCAAAACCTGGAACAAGATAAAACACAATTTTCAAACATGCCAAGAAAACCAAGGAATGAAAAAACAGCTTCAATAGAACAATTTAAACAGGCTAATTCACCCCCACCAAACATAATCATCATAAATACTTTGGCAACCAAAGAGATGAGAATTCTTGTCTGTGATTCATACAGCTAGTAAAAAAACATTAGGAAAAATCTGGGAAATAATTTTATTTTATTATTTATTTTTTGCATAGTATAAGATTCTAAAGTGGAGTAAACAACCTTTCCAAGGCCTGAAAGCCCCCTCCAATTATGGGAATTATCAATTAAAGGAATTTCAAATGTTGAAACCTTCATGAAATATATAGTAATTCCTAATGAAAATGATATTTATAGTAGAACAAGCAAATGCTTTTTCTTTAACTTCAATACAGGCAACGATAAATTCTTTTCGAATGAAAAAGGCAACAAGAAATCAGGCAAAGTAATCATATCTTTGATGCAAATGTTCTAACCTCAATTGCTAGCACCCTGCCAATAGATGCTTCAGATTCATTCCACTTCATCTGAGAGCAAAGCCCATTCCTTCCCCCAGCTCTCCAATCAAGAAGGCCAAGAAGTACTTCAACAAGACCAACCCTATATTATTCAGAGAACTTATATCAATATCAGAATGGGCAGAAGCGTCCAAATCTGAGCATAATCTACAAATATATCATTTTAAATGAGTGTGTGCATGTGCATGTGCATGGTTAGTGTGTGTTAGCATTGCAAAGTCTGGAAATGAGATCACCAGGTCTGCAAGGTGCAGACTATGCAACCATGGAATGATAAATATGGATTACATACTGGGTTGAGACTGTCAGTCAAAAATAATAAACCCAGACTACAAAAGCTACTCACTTAAGTCCTTGTGCTACAAGTGCATCTCTAGCTCGGTTTCCAGCAACCACAACACGTTTTAGTGTCTCAAGAGCTAATATGCTTCCACCTTGCCATCCTATTGCTTTCATTAGAAGAGGAACGACCTGTAAAATTGAACAGTAATGGTAAACAAGAGGATTGAAAATGAGACAACAGCACCCACCCTATATCGCCCAAGAGAGGACTTAAAGCTACTGTACTTCCTGCACACAACTCCCTATTTTCTCCTAAAAAACTATTGAATATTGAATTGCGTAAAATAAAATAACTGTTACCAAAATTTGAAGCAAATCCATTTGTGAAAAAAGGTCAAAGATAAGTATGATACTACAAGCCTGAATCTACCAGAAATCAAAGTGGGCGGGATTTTACGTATGAGTCCTCTATGAAAATTTGATAGTCAATATATCCTTTTTAAAACGAGAATACATGGTTTTTAGATGTAAAAAGAATATATACATCAAAAAAATAGTTTTACACACCTGAGGTGTTCCTACACTAGTTGCTGCCATAGCTTCAGCACACGTGGTGCTAGCTGCCAGTTGATGAAGGACACGTAAACAACTGAGGCGCACACGTTCTTGGGGAGTTTGCATGGGCTGTGTGGATCCATCATCAGGTTCATATGTTCTGTCCACATAACTGCCATTGTTTACCTCCCCTGATGCCATTGTTTCTCGTCTTCCTTCATAAGCCACAGCAGCGACAAGTTTGGGCACATATCCAAGATACCCAACATGATCAGCTAGTGCAGGGTGCACTCGTAGTAATGAAACCAAAGCAGCAGAAAGGAGCAAAGGAAGTTCAGGGTCAACAGCTTGTGTGTCGTAATGTGTGGCAGCAATGGATGTCAAATACTGATCCAGCAGTCCTTCCAAGAATCTCTTTGGATTTCGGAGAGGAAACTTGGGATCTTTTAGGAATAACCTAACATAGATTCCACCAACCTGCATGAGCTTGAAACTGTGAGTTCTCCAAACAATTAGACAAGAAAATGCAAATATGGCATAATCATGAACTACCTGTGGCTCATCTCTCATTTCTTGCTGCCCAGATGCCTGCTCAGGAACATCCCAATCAACCACACGACCTTTCATCTGTTCGCGATATAGATCTGATGCCATAGTTGCAATTTGTGCAGACAAAGAAGTAGCCATGGCTGGTGTCCATACAAGTTCCGGAGTCTCGGTAGTCTGTTCTAGGGAAACTACAACAGCCTCACCAGGACCATCCCTAATAACTGATACCAAGCCATCTGGAAGAAACCTTGCTAGTGTTATAGCAACTCTAGGCCCATGCATTGGCTGCCCAACAAGCTTCCCCAACAAAGATGCAGCTGCTGCTCTTTGTTGCAATGAAATTTCTTCTACAAATAATGGCTTATATCATCAACAAAATTCAATCTTCTAAATTAACATGAAGAGAAATAGGAAAAGGAAAGGAAAATTCTTTACCCTGCAAAGGCAAGAGAAGTTCAAGGATGTAGACCACTCCCCCATGCTTGGCAGCTGCCCAAGCAAGTTCTGGTGTGCTGGCCAGAGCATAAAGAACATGAAGAACCCCTTCACGACAAGTTGGGGCTGAGTGAAGCATTTGTAATAAAAGGAGAAGGCTGGATCCATCTGCAACCATAGCCTCCAAGCAGGGAGCATACGTAGTCAAGAGTGACAGCACACTCAGGCAAAGTTGAGGAATGTTGCTTTCTGAGGCAACAGGCACCGAAAAACATTCGAAAAGAGGCAATAGCTTATCTTTAGTAGAAAAAATTGACGCCAAATTTGGACTATTTGTCAGTAAGTTCTGCAAAGAAATAGGGACAAAAAATGGTCAGATACATGGAATGAATTGTAAGTTCGGAACTCAACATGCACAAGAGAGCAAGATACCTTCAGTGAATTCAATGCAAATTTAAGATTCTTAACCATTTCAAATTCTTCCTTGTCTACCACTTGCCCATTAGATACTGCTGAATCTTCAACAGGAGTCTGCTGCTCATCAATTGATCCAACAGCCGTATCATTAGGATGCTCAGATGTCTCAAGAGATGAGTCATTCTGATTTGGCACATCCTTAACTTCAGAATCTGTAGCACATTGATTATGCACTAGATATGATATAAAATCAATCAAAGCAACACAGAAAGCTTCTGGTTCACTGATCTCAAAATCTGGCTGATCATTATAGACCCTCAAGTAAACATTTCCAACATAGAGTTCTTTTGATAGTGCCTTATATGCAAATGCATGTGAATCTTTCATCTCATATGAACCGTCAGCACCCTGACTTGCACGTTGCTGATCCACAAATTTCAGTAGTTCTGCTCGGGTTGAAGAGTTCCAGATAATCTAGAACCACAAACAGATAATACAATCAACCTTAAAGAGAAATAACATTGAGCACACCCAAATGACCCTGGCATAGATGTTAACAAATTGCATATAAAGTGACCATATGACTACTTTTGTCAAAAGGATAATGAAAATATAGAAACTAAAGCAATTACCTCAGGAGACTCCAAGTTATTGTTTAATTTAGACAGCAAGTCTTTTGGTGCTTGATCTTTTAACATGCTGGCTAGTTTAGGAGTCAACAGAGCTCTGAGGGCATCAGCTGCAGTCTGATTATAAGGTGTTGAACTCTCATCACTACACAAACCACTAAGCCTTGAAAGTGCCTGCGAGGCACGTACAGCATGCATATTTTTCGCAATTTGAACACTAGCACCAACACCATGTGATTCTGTTGCATTAGATTCCTCTGCAGTTGAGTCGTATTGAAGCAGCACGGGCAAAAGGTACCTAAAAGTAAACACACCCAATGCAACACAACACAGATGAAAATAATTACATTTTTTTTCAAAACATATTATAACAATCAGTTCTTCAAAGTATCAATAACAAACTAAAAAAATTGAGAGAGAGAGAGAGAGAGAGAGAGAGAGAGAGGTTTTGATTGCCTAGTTGGAATTTATATGTTATCCTTATAGTCTTCTTTCTAGTTTTCTATTTCCATATAATTATAAAGGACAAAAAGGAATGTAGATAAAATCGATTAGTGGAGATGCGAGAGAGACTACTTTGGCATTTAAGTGAGTAAATGGGCAATCTTGCATCTAAAACTTCAAAGGTTATCAACTGTGTCAGCTGACTTACCATACAACTCCAGCCTTCAGCAAGGCATCCTGTAATTCAGTGGACACAGAAACATGTGCAATAGTCTGGAGAGCAGCATCAACAGCGGCAGGTACCAGCTCAAGTTCAGTGCAGTGCACAATATCATCAACTAGTCCAGAATACTCAAGCATCTCAGACCAGGCACTCTCAAATTGACTCAAAACACAAAAGGTTCGCATCACATTTGTAACAATTATCGCGGATGGTTCACTTGCAGGAGTGGTTGGTTGAACTACACACATGCAACGGGAAAGAAGATTCGCAAGAAGTTGTATGCCACCATCCCTCACAAGTTCTTCACCATTCAATGAAGAAGATGCACACCTAAACACGGAAATATAAGCTTATATCATCTATTTGTCAACACTCAATTCAAACAATGGGAACAGGAAAGAAAAGAAAAGAAAAACTGGAATAAGGGGTGTTTACGTCAGCCAAATAAGCTCTGACGCTGCAACAAGGAGAGGTGCTCTATCTGAGGAAAGAAAATTGTTATCATCCTTGTCCACAGTAACTGCATTGAGCAACATTGGATAACCAGCATATTTAAATGGCTCCAGTATGCCTCCATAACGTCTGTACAAGATACACTGTCCTTTCAATAGAAGCAACAATCGCCAAAGCTGGGGGCCTTGCAAGCCTTGCATAGTGGCCTGCAAACAATAATGCAGAGTTGTCCAGCAAGCTCGAAACAGAAAGATATAACTAAAAATTGAGTTTTCAAATATCATGACAGGATAACTACCTATCACCTTCTGTTCACACAAGATAAAACATTTACCCAGGGCTTTGTATGGCTCCACTACCCAAAAAAAAAGCATGTACAAATGCACACTGACAAGATCATATTCAAAAACACAAATGCATGCGTTAAAGGAAAATACTCAAATACACAGGTGCACACCCAATTTTTACCCATTGCAAGTTTATTACATATTTAAATATTTCAGTTTATATTACCAGATATGGAGGTTCATTAAGGTAACTTTCATGGATGTCTTATGAACCTACGAGAAAGAAGAAAGAAACTTTCACAAAACTAAGGACCAACAGCCAACTGCAATGAATTTCTAAAGGAGCAAGATGAATTCTTAGACTAATGGGCATAACCAAAATTTCAAGCCTGTTCATATAAACAAATACCAAATAACCAGTTCTCCAGGCTAGTATCTACCTGCAGGCGCTCATAAGCTTTCTGTACAGCAAGAAATTTCTCCCTTCCTTCAGGATTTTTGTCTGGGTGGTATCTCATGGCGAGTTTCCTATATTGCCGTTTAAGCTTTTCTTCATCAATGTTCTCAATCTGCTTGGATATGCTAGATACCTCCTCACCCATCTCAAAAGAATGCTTCGTGTCAGCATCATCACTTGATACATCTTCCAATGAGATCTCTAATATTTTGCAAGCTTCTTCTTCGGAAAGATCCATTGGTCTTCTTGTCAACTCCTCACGCCACATTACCAATAATGACTGTAGGAACTCAACATGTTCAACAATCGGCCAATTTGGAAACCGAATCTCATCACATAAGTTACGGAGGTAATAACGGTGACACCACATTTCATCTCGTAGCTCTGGGTATGTCACTGGTGGCATAGGAGCATATTCATATAGAGAATGGCAGTGCTGTGATAGTTTCTGGGGGAAATCACCCAGATGCTGCAAAACCTGGTGGAAGGACAGGAGTTCGAGTTCATTAATACCTTCTTTACAGTAAGTAAACAAAAAACCAGCACATGCCCCATTTAAGGCTAGCAAATACCTGGCGAATCAGATTTTCAGCTCGCATCTTGTGAGTCCATATAATCTCTGGAGTATCAGAATCAGATACCATTGCAGCAGCAAATGCAGCTGGACCACTACGCTCCAATACATACAGCAAAGATTCTGGAAGAAGCCCACCCAATACACTGCGCTTCGCCAGAGGCAAGGAAGAGGAAACTGCAGCTTCTTCACCACCATGAAATGCTTGATGAACATGAGTCACTGAGAAGAGTTGGGCGATTGAAAGGAGATTAGATCCAGGATATGCTAGGGAGAAATAAAATGTGCCCGTGCTGTATAGGCGAATCATGGCCTTGGGATTTCTAGTAACAACAGCCTTCAGTAAAGCAGCAGCACCCTCTACAATACTTGGTTCTCCAGAAAGCAATGCCTAAATTAAGTGGGGAATGGAAATAGTTATATAATGGTGATATTCAAGATACTTCTTTACAAGGTCCCTATAAGCAAATTGAAAATGAATCAAACTAGAATTACCTGAGCAATATGCGGAAGGCAACGTGGACTTGACAAGATCCTTTTTACTCTAGGAGTTGGGGTAACTATCTCTCCAGCGTCGTCTAAATCTGAATGTGCAGATACCATGCTGTGTAATATGGACAAAGCTGCCTCACCAATCTGAAAACAAAATGACATACTAGAACATGTCAAGCAAAGAGAATGAGAAGAGACAAGAAAAGGACGTCTTTTCAACAAGATAATAGACACGAGCAAGAAAAGAGATTTCAACAGAAAGTGATTCACCTTGATTTTAGAAAGAACACATTAAGAAGTATGTATGTTCTTATGTACTTAATTAAACTGAACTAATATTCAAATGTACAGTTTTAAAGAATTCAATGAAAATCCTCCAATTGAACATTACCATATATTAGAATATAAAAAATAACATAAAAATCAATCATTTTATCCAAAAGTTTAGCGGCTGTTATAATTACTCAAAACTAGAACTATAAGCACGGTAGAAGATTTGCAGAGAAAAGAATGTGGGTTGAAACACCAGCAAGTACACAATCAATTACAATATATTCAACTTTAAGTTCCATGCATACAAAAACTACACCTGAGTTGGCGTGAGAACAGGAACTCGAACAGCTAGTGCCCAACGAAGTTCACGAATATCCCGCAGTCTCTTCCAGTCTAGCATCCCAGAAGCCCAGCACCTTGTTGTCCAATCAATAGCCTTCTTTGACCAAAATCTTCTAATGGCATCCTTTTCAACAGGTCCAACCTGTGCTCCTTCCTTGTCAACAAACATCCATTCCTTGAGCGGTTCCATGAAAGCAGTAGCAGCAATCAAATTAGACTGCAAGGGAATAGCTGTCCTTTCTGAAGCTTCATGAGCCACTGTCAGCATATCAACAGCTAACACACATCCTCCAACCAAAACGCATGCCTCGACATTTGCCAAAACCTTCATTAACGCCTTCACAAACAGTAAAATACAGAGAGTTACCATCTTCCCCCTATTTAATTAATGACTGAAAGGCCAAAAATGGTTTTTTCTTTCTTTCTTGGGTTTTCAAATCCCAGGCCAAACAACAGCGTTTCAGACCCGGGCCATCTTCTTCCCAGAAGGTTTACACCTCTAGCAGAAAGAGGCCAACTCGAAGAAAGGCATACGCCTCAGCCCAGAGGCGCACCTTGAGGCATGTTTTTTAAAACACTGCTGATTACACAATGGAGAGGCAAATGGGGAGTGAAAGGACAGCCAAGATTTCATAGAAACAAAACATACCCAAAACGGAATAAAAAAGTAGAGAATCAAGGGGCCTCATGTCAAGCCAATCTGTATTTAGAGAAAGATAAAAGACTAAAAAGTTGTACCTTCAAGAGCACTAGAAGACGGTGCCTCAAAGCCCTATCATCTGTCCTATCCAACAGAACTGTAATGTGAGCAGTGCCCTCAAAAGGACCTACTGTTTTGTAATGCTGCTCATATACAATTGCCATTGCTCTAGCACATAGCTCTCTCACAGAATATCCTCCTCCACCTCCAAAACCATCTAGTCTTCCCATGTCGCACCAATCATCAGATGCACCCATTTCATCAGGAACAGCTCCATCTACTGTAAGTCCTATGTCTGCATCACATAAGAACCGATGGTAGAGTGCTCTAAAGAAGGCAACTGGATCACGCAATGGAAAATCTTGTGCCCTGCCAACACTACCACTCTCAAGCAGCAAACGCAGATAATACTGACCCACGCAAACTTCTTTGGACAAGCTAGGATATCTAACAGAGAACTCAGAGTAGTTCCAAGATATCTGGGGTACACTATCTTGGCCAGTCATAGTATCCACCGTAGCACCTCCAGGAACAATATCTTCAGTACGCTCCTTCTCAACATCTAACTTATGAACCTCAGCCTGCAAAGTCTCCCTCAACTCTTGCCTGGTGCGCTCATTCCAGATCAAATCTGCACGATTATGATCAAGGCTAAATGCTCGCCAGAATTCAGGCCAATTACAAAGTAGCCTACCAGATCCCACAGGAGTGTTTTCCACAACAACCTGAGCAGGAGCAGGGAGGCCTGTGTTCTGGAAACCAGTAACATTGGAATCAGAATCAGTTGACATTGAAGTATTTGCTTCCACTGCCTCATGAATACTTGTTGACTGAGAATCAGCTGAAGCCACAAAAGCTGAATGATTGTTTTGTGGAACCCCTGAAGACGCTAACTCACCAGTGGAATTTTCAACAGTTTGAGCACCAGAAGACTGAATGGTCGAAGCCTGTCCAGAACTCTGATCCAGTACAGATCTTTGATAGTTATCTGACACCTTAAAAGTACCAGCATTTGTCTGTGTCATGGGATCACCAACTTCATAATTGTTTACATTAGGTAAGGAATTCTCTTGAGATGTTGATCCTTTTCCTGTACGACCTTTCCTCTGTTGGAGTAAGCGTCTCTGTCTTCTACTGGTCAAAGATCCTTCTTGATTGACATCTTCTGATTGAACTCCATCAGAACGTGTGTGCAAATAAGCAACAAGCCCAGGAGGCAGAACTCTGGACAATAAATCCAGAGCTGGTTGATAAGAATCTGCCCAGAGAGCAACAAGCTGTCGACTAACCTCACGTCGCTCACCAGGAGGAAGGAAGAAGGCGTGCAATAAATGTCTCAGCAAAGCACCATCACGCAAAGCAGCATCGCGCATGGACTCTGCTGCAATTGCATCTTCTTCTGCAATTGTACGCATAATCACAGCCACTGTTTCTCTAACACTTTCAGCAGGATGTCCAAACAATGCAAACAAACGACGCTTCAAACCAGCAACTTGGCGTAACAGTTCAACAAACACTGTGTATTGTGTTGTCTCACCATGTGGTTCACATATCATTGCCTCAAGAACCTCAACAACGGCCATTGATAATAATGGTGATACAGACATTGGCTTCAGTCTGTTGGCAAGTATAATAGCATAACCCTGATTAGCAAACAACACTGACTTTGTGTGCATGATTGTTGCATGCTGCTCTCCTTTAGAGTCTGTCAGTATATTTGTATCCCCAGGACCACCACCAATAAGAACTGCAACTAGCCCTGCAGCTTCAGCGGCTACACCCTCTGAACCATTTCTTAGTAAACCCATTATTCTTCCAACAGCAGCAGGAAAAGACATCACATGTGACGCAGCAGTTCTTGAAGCTAGTAATCTACGTAAACATGCAATAAAGCCCATCACCGTTGCAGCTGCTTTAGGTGAAGGGGGAGGTAAGGGAGGTGACTCTGGAGGAAGATTCGGTGTAGCTGGAAGCATTGTTATTAAAGCCATCAAAGTCACCTCAGGTACTTCTATGTTAGGAGGAACTCCACTATATGGAATACATGCATTGAACTCTCTTATTCTACGCCATAGCTTAGCTCTTGATCCAGGAATGGAACCACCTTCGGAAACTGCATCTTTGGCAGCTGCTGCTAAGTGTTTCAAATGCATGGATGCACTCTCTACATCTGCAATAGGCCGTTGAAGTCCAGATTGTAAATGGACTCTCCCACAAGGTGGATCAATAGGATGGCCTGGCATTGTCAGTCTTGGTAACACAGTCACTGCACATTGACCCTGCACAAATTAAACCTAGAGGTCAACCAAACCCCACGAAAGTGCAATCATGATATTAAACCCTGTCAATATCTTCAAAAGAACACATCTACCTACTTCTGTTTGCAACAGATCGCGAACTGCTGCAAGTAAGCTATCACGGGACGTGCTTGCATAAACCTACAATATATCATAAACATCAGAAACATGACCCTGCAATAAATCAGGAACACAAAACAAGGGTAACAAATGCTCACATGGATGGGGCACCCATCATTGAACTCAATTGCAAACATTTGGGGCTCCTCAGCAAATCGAACAAGAGCATTTACTGCAGATAAAGGTCGAACAATAACAGCCTGCACACATCTAGTGACTATTCTCAACATTTGATATAATTCCATGAAACATACACTTGAATCTATACAGAAGTAAAAAACCATAAAAGAGTTTGGGGAAAATTTAACATTTCATTTGTTGGGACTTAAATCTGTTATATGTATATTAAATGCATGCATTACCCATATATACGTAGATAACTAACTATATGAGCATAGTTAGATTTACACACCGAGCAAGAACATCTCTCTTTCATAACAGTTTATTCAATCTGAAAGGTAGCACTTGTTTTGTAATTGATTCCAGGGGAGGTGGCGTGAATGCTTAAAATTGGGCATCTTTGTCGTATAGGAGCTTAATTCAAGACTAGTGCACTGAACTTCATGGCATCAACGTAAAGTCTACAAGTATGCTCTAGTAAATTCATCAGCTTACTTCATAGTTCTCTGGGCGTCTTTCAACAAGTGAAACTTTTGTAAGAATCAGTTGGCGAGATACAGCATCACCATTCTCTCCAAGTCCACCTTTTGGGCCAACGCTCAAACTTAATCCTGGAACATTTAGAGTTCCACGAGCAGCAGAGCGCAACCTTGTCACGGACCAACCTCCACATGGAGTTTCTTCTGCTCCAACTGCCTCTTTTGCTGCATTATCCAGAAAAAATGATAAATGAATAGCTAAATTTTTTAGCATTCGTGGAATTTGCCAATAGACAAAGTCATCGGGACACAAAAATAACAAATAAAGAAGATAATTACTACATAGAGACCACTAAAAAGTGTTCAGAATGAACTACCCCTTCGCTTTATATACTCCGCTATCGTGAGAGATTGGGAAGTTTCCACAGTTAGTGACACCCCAACCATAGACTTTGCTGTTTTCGTCTGCATTACAATGTTTTATAACATAAGTGCTAATCCAAGAGGCGTATTCAAAAGAGTCCCATAGGAGGGTTTTTGCATGGGGGGCACTTCAGACGTAAAATTAATCTCACAGAAGATATCATTTACATGAAATTCTAAAAAAGTTAAAATTTCAACAGTTCAAGTTCAGACATACCAAATTTGCAATTATGGCGGAATTTGTGGATCCAGAAGCAGCTTGAAAAGCTTTAGATTTTCTTCCATATAAAGGACAAAGAACAAAACCTCCATGTTCACTACCTTTCTTCCCATAAGCATCAGAAAGAAAAACAATGGCAGGGGAATCGAAATCTCTGAAATCCAAGCACCAGCGAAGGTCTCCACTTTTTAAATCAATCAGTTCAACCCCAACATAAGTAACTTTCAATTTCTGCCCAAGCCATCAATTGTTACAGAAAATCAGTTTAATAGTTATAAAGAGCAAAGTAAACATGTCATTTCCCATTGCTAGCCAATCAAATAAATATTATTAACAGCCAAATAAACATACCAGTTTAGTAAATATTACAAAACGGTCATATACTGACTAGTGACATGCATGCATCTAGAGTGACTCAAACAGTGTCAAAGGTAAACTATTTGGCAAATGAACACAATTTTCGCTAAAGATCCAAGTAATAACCACCATGAAAAGTAACCCCGTTTCCATATTTTCTATAGTAAAACTATTTGGCAAAGAAGGATAATTTTCACTTAAGATCCACTCTTCCAAGGAAAACTTGCTCATTGCTAACAATAACCCCATTGAAAGAGTTGAAGCAATCATATTATTAGCCATTGAATCTTCTACTAACAAATTTATCAATTGCCATACGGAATCTTCTACTAACAAATTTATCAAACTAGTGCAGTAAAAGAACGACATTGCACAATCACCAACAAGCATTGCAAGAGAGGCAACTTACAAAAGTGACCCACTCGGCATTTCGTCTCCGTAGATGAAGCACCGGAAATTCGGCGACGGCGCCCAACCGATTCCCCTTAATTCTATGCAACTCGGTCAATATACTCGCTCTATACCTCGATGAGAACTTAATGCCCTTGAATTTTCCACGGCCGTCGGTCCGAACACTCAAATTGAACTCATTTGAGTTCTCGTCGCGGCCGATGATAGGCGCGGCGGAGTCAAAATCGGAGGCGACCTCGTAGGAATTGGTGACGGAAAGCGTCGCAGGGTCCAAGGTGGTTATGGTGACATTCGAAAGGCAGAGAATTCGCTTGTATCGGCCACGCCATGAGTGCTTGACGACCAAGTAGCGAGCGAGGTACTCGGGCTCTTCGACAGGGGTAGGGGTAGAACGGGAAGAAGATTTATTGGAGCTGTCCATGGCTCTAGGTATGGGCGCGGCTGAGCGGTTTTGATCAGATGTGTGGCGGCTCACGGATTCTACGTGTGGGAGGTAGTGGAGGGTGTGAGTGCGAGGCGCATTGTTGTGGCGGAGAAAGAACCAGAGTCCCGAGCCGGCCTGAGCCGGTGGTGGCGCAGAGGCCGCCGCCTGAGACCGAGACTGATTCGCCCCCAGCTCTGACGGTTATTTACGCGTTCTGCCACAGCTTCCAGTTTCGATCGATTAAGCCCTAACTGAACCTAATTGAATCATCTGAGATAAAAATTTGAGCCTTTGAGTGGAATTTGCGATCCTGATCGGCCGTTTGCAAATTGCGTCCAAGAATTGGAATTGAAATGAACAAGATTCTTATTAAAAGAATAAATTTTTTAGAGTTCTTGAGAGATAAAGGGAGGACAGCTGGGGATAAAAAAAGCTGTGCTTCGCTGTGTCACGACTCATAATACTGTGCTTTGCTAAAAGCTCCATCATTCTCTTTGGCCTTGACACATTCTTCGGAAGATACCGTCACCTCACTGTGACCTATTTGCGATGACGTGGCGGTAAAAAGCGTGCTACTAGATCAACCGCTTTTGTATTCTTCCCTTCTTTTCTTTTCTCTTCCTTTCTAATTTTGTTGGAAAATTTGTTGACAAGTTATCATCCAAACGATATTCTACTTCAAATTAATGTAAGGAGGACTCAAACTTTTAGTGCAAAAGCATGACTCCAATTTTAGTGCAAAATAAGGATTTATTGTCTTGATTAACCAGTCGAACTCACATCTACATTTTACTAATTTATTTTATCATTTAAAAAAAAATAAATACCAACTCGCAAAGACCACAGTTTCATCCTTTATAATTACCAGGGGTGATTGGTGAAAGGTTGAATAGAAGAAAATGATAGTTGATACTTTTGCTTTGGATGGATGGCCACCCCAAAACCTAATTATTTGAATAACTTCATATGACCGACACAAATTAAAAATAGTATTGCCCGACTCTAATTAATTAAAGCAACTAAGTGGAGAACAACAGTAACAAATTTGTACTCTTCATTGTAATGAGCAATTATGGTTTTTTTGTTTTTTTTGTTTTTGTGTGTAAAAGAAGCAACTACACAGAGTAAACATTGTACAAAAGAAACTCAGCATCAAGGGACCCTCCTACTTACAACAAAACATCCACAGAAACCAACCATACTCTCCTCTCTCTCTCTCTCTCTCTCTCTCTCTCTCTCTACTTTTCTCTTCCTGTAACTTCAAGTTCTGATGCATCATCATCACCGGTAGTATCCGAGCTGACTGGAAGAGATTTAGAAGCAGCAACAGGGAAGCACTGCAAAAATTGTGACAGTCCGAAAACAAGTAAATGTTAATCAAAATTCTGAGACCATATCATAAAAGGGGGGGTAAATAGAAACCTACAACTTGGATTGGACATAATAGTTGACTAATAACAAAACAGTTTGCCGTATTTAGCCTAACAATTCAAGTTGTGCATGCAAGAAGCACACAATGCCTCCTTCAAGACTGACAAGAGAAATGAGCATCTGCCAAATATTATGTACTTAGAAGAAGGGTGGCAATAGTAAATATCATCCTAGTAATTTATTAAGGCAGCTGATAACAAGCGAAGTTACCAGAATCATCACACAATCAGAAACATTAGTGGTAATTACTACAAGACAATGTAAAAAGAAAGTTGAAGCAGGAGAGTCAATAAATTAGTGCATATGGCTTTCTACCTCCAGGTCATACAGCATGTTGATCGAGGCTTCCAAGTCACCATCATTAGCAGAGTGAACATGAGCAAGGCAATGTTCTGATATGTTTGGAAACATGAATGACAGATAAGCCAGATGTATCTCAGAATCTTCATTTATGTACTGCACTTGAGCCTGGTTGCTTATCTTCTGCTGCAAACCACTCTTTTCCAGACTATTGTCAATGACAAGAGCCTCAATTTCATGGATGCTAAAGTCAGAAGAAGCATCACCGCCTTCGAAATAGAACTGTGCCGTCCCGGTGTGGCCTTCAGAAGGAGAATTGAACAGAACAGTTTCATGGTTAGCCTCCTCTTCTTTCTTGTTCAGTGGTATGTATGATGCTGCATGGGGATTCAAAGATGACATGGTTGAATTCATTTTCTTAATTCCTGCAATAAAGGGAAGCAAAATTAAGCCCGGCCAGAAAAACTAGAAGACCAATCTTGAGAAAATGGACTTGCCTTCAATAGGAATAGATGAATCGTAATTATGGCTTAATTTGGAAATATATTTCTTAAAAAATACGATTGGTACCTACTTTTATTGGAAATATACAAGCAGCGTATAGCTTTCAAGTTATTTTTCTTTAGAAGACTGGTGATCCAAGCAAGGTATCTCACAGGCCTACATTCATACAGATTACAGACAGCAAGAAAGGGACAAACACAATTTGTATTAGACAAATAAGTGTTAAAGAATATGAGTCTCACATCGGAAACTTGACTAAATAAAATACAAAATATAATGAATGGTTCTACTACTAATAATACCGAGACTTTTTGTGATAAAACCTCACACCTACTGGACTTTGTAGGTGGTTAAGTTGGGGACAATATCGGTGTTGTTGAGAAAATTAAAGGCTCTGTTTGGTTGTCTAGAAAGAAAAAAAGAAAAGCGCACACATAAAGAAAAAGCATTAGTGACCAAATAGAAAGTGATAGAAAATAAAGAAACTTTGCATAGCATAGAGCGCAACATAACATAATCAAGATTCGCAAGAAAAAGCATAGAAATGTAAAGATAACAGTGTGTGTGAGAATACCCCTCTTAAAAAGAACAAATAAAATGAAACTCTAATGTTAACAAATATTTAAAATTGCCTAATGGGACTTGCCCACAGGTTGATCCCTGAGTCCAACTAAATGGGCCAATTCAAAAGTCCAAGGCGCAACAATGAACGGGCTCTTTGCTGAATATGAGCCGAACCAAACCCAATTTTATCTTTCCCTGTCTTCTTTTCTTTTGGGTTCTCACTCCAGAAATTGAAGAAGAGGGATTTGCACATACAATTTTTCCCATTTAATGAAAGAAACTATCTGAATTAAAAAATTACTAAGAGTGTTTGAATTAAAAAAATATGAAAACATTTGTGTTAACATTAATTATCACGTAGTGTTACTAATTCATGTATTTATCATCATTTGGTTAAAAGACATAATGAATAATTCACGTCGTAAAACATAATATCAATAAATAAGTATTCATATTATAATATTAATGGATTAATAAATAGCAACACGTGACAATTGCTGTCACAATTTAAAAAGTTTCGCGAAAAGTAGCTCATGTATAGTTGGACACAATGCGATTCAATTGTCCCTAGTAATTGATGATCAATCCCTGCCTCATAAATCATAACAATGTGGTAGCTTCATTTAGCTAGCACTTTGTTCACCGGTCTCTGCAAGAGACAAAAGGTCCGTGAAGCTTTTTGTAGCAGATTCCGGCAAGCAAATACACACAAGCATTGTCCCACTAGGATCAGCCTCCGCTTCCGGCAGAAAAACACAAACTTGCGGTGTGGGAGTGAGATCTATAGGGCCAGCATACATTGGCCTGCCCCATCCAAAATCTGCAGAATCATATATTGAAAATCTAGTCCATTGAGTTATTGTCAATTTGCCTCCAAACTCCAGCCTCCTTGGCCTGTCCACTTCAACATAATCCACCGTAGACCTCAGATACTCTTCCGAGATGCCAAGCCGGGCTTCACGAACCAACCGCGCCGTGTCCGGGAACCTTCCATACACAAGCTTTCTCACAGTGCTTATGACACAAGCCAAGCACACCACATTCCCATAAAAACCTTCTTTCAATGGCGGGTTTTTGAGCTTCTGGCGGGCATTGACTGAGAAGGTTAGCCTGAGCTCATAGTTCAATGGTTTTACATCAAGTGCTTTCACCCATGATCTCCATATATGAGCAGCCATCGCATCAAATGTGCTGCATGTAATATTGGACATATCATCTTCTGGTTGAGCCAAAGTTTTCAGCCAGGCCTGGAACTCGCGGCTTATTCTGTAGCATTTTTGAACAGCTTTGGTTTGCCAGAGGCTCATTGTTAGGCTTGACCCGTCCTCGATTCTCATGAACTCAATATGTGGGAATTTCACCAGCGGTGGATCGCGAGGCCTGAAAAAGTCCCTGTCCCAGCATGGCGTAGGGTTTGTGATCAGTGTGCCTGCTTTGGCTGTGGCAGCCCATGAGCTGAGAAATTGCATAGCACCAAGCCCATCAACAATGCAGTGGCAGATTCTCAGGCCGAGGCTAAACCCACCGCAGCTGAAAAGGGTCACCTGAGCTATCACCAGTGGCATGTCGAGCACTTTGTATGGCTCTTCATTTGGGAACCTAAAAATCAACGGTGACCATGCTGGGTTTGGCACTTTGAGGTCTCCGAGATCGGACAAGGACATTTCAGAGTGAGCCTCCACCATGAGAGCTCCTTGGTCTTGCCCGAAAAACACCTCTAGCTTTCCATTGTTGGTCTCTCTCAGCCTACCTGATAAAGGGTAGTAAGGAACCAACACACTGGCAAGAGCATCACGAAGTGTTTTCATAACCGGTCTCCAGTTATCTGAGGCGTAAAAATATACTGTGGGAGTGAAAACACGGGCTCCAACCACATCATCGAGGTTCGAAAGGTAAAGACTTTGGCCGGGAGCGGTGGGAGTAGGCCCTGAAGGCATGACTGGGACCATACGATCAATGGTAATGGGTATGTGGAGGTGAGGGAAATGGAGCTCTTGAACCCACGGAGGAGCCATGAGAGGCGCTGCAGGTAGCTGAGGCTATCCATGCCGAATAGCCGCATTTGTAGAAGATCACTTTTGTCTTTGACATGCAAAGATGCTTGGGCTAAATAGATGAGGATTTTAAAGTTATTGGTATGGAACAGTTGGTGGTGATATTACTCATGATCAAAAAATATTTATTCTTGATTGAGTTAGTCCTACAGAGAATTCTTTGGAAACAAATTTTGTACCTTTGTGTGAAGTGTCCCTTCGTATGTTTTCACTTGCACCTGATGTGTGTTTTTTTCTCCTTTGATAATTATAGAGGGCATAGAAAAAACACATGGTAAATGCATAAAGAGGACCATCAATTGAAATTTTGTTAGTAAACATTCCAAGAGAACTGTTTGGCTTGAGCAATTGATCATATGAGAATTAAACATGATACATTTAACCATACCTACAAATTCACACTAGGCCTCTGTAGCATACCTATGATTTATGACCGAACGCCTAAAGGATATATTTCTATTAAGTTCACCATCACCAAAATTTTACCGGACAAGAATTTACCCTCCCAGGGTAAGTACTCTTTTTCCCAAATTGTACCATTTTCTGGCGATCATTTGCAACTTGGTCGGCTTCCAGCAGCAAACACTTTTATCGCATCATAAAAGCACCTCTATTCTTGAGGAAGGAGCGCTATCTCAATTTCTTGGAGCGATTTTCCTTTAGTTTCCACCACATTTCGTTTCACAAAAACCACAGCCAGCATGCAAAAGGTGCCAAATATAGAATACAGAAGCCGCGGGCCAAATTGTTCCAACAGTTGTAAGAATAGCAATCCCACAAAGAAATTTATCACCTGGAAAACACCCATCACAGGATAAATGAAACCATAAGATAATTGAATTCCATTTCTTAATTCAGAATCCACGTGGAGGAAGAAACTGATTTACAAAATTAGTAGAATTCTAAAGCTGCACAACTACTAGGAGCTCTTGCCTGGGCAATGCACAGATCACCCGAACAAAAAGCCTTTAACAGCAGGAGACACAATAAAAAAGTTGACATGGAATTATTCAGAAGGAGAAAGAGAGAGTTACCCAATGCACTGACATACAGACAGCCATTGCTTTTGCCCTGATGCGGCTGGGGAATATTTCTGGTAAAAGGAGACCTGGAACTGGACCAGCTCCTAGAGCAAATGTTAAGACGAACCTGTACAAAATTTTCATATTTATAGACATATCTTTACCCAGTTTCTCCAAAAAGCACTAATAGCGTTCTACCATCCATGCCCGATTTTGGGGTAAATGATTGGATAATAGAACTTTGAATTTTTTTTAATTTTTGCCTCATTATTCATCATTTTCCTACATTCAACTCACTCATCTTAGTTGCTGCTTATTACAAGGGTCCCATGAAATCAGAAGGTGCTGAATCATGGGCTATAATTTTCCAAAAGGCATTCAGATATATAAAAGGGACATTTTGTGGCTAAAACCTAAATTTACTTATATAAAATATCATAATAAACCAAAGAATACATTCAAGCATATATCATCACATTCACAGAGGCTAAGGACACACAAACATCATTGTAGCACATGCACAATAGTAATAAAAGAACTGATCAGTGGCAATATCATGAGCAAAATTTTCATGTAGTTACGCTTACTGGTTGCATTGCATATATGATCATATAACATAAGATTAGTCTTCGAGATGTAAAGTTCAAAATTAGTACTCACATCAGCATTCCACCAACAGACAGGTACAGTGATCCAGAGCCTGACGAATAAAAGCTTGCTGCAGCAACTTGAAGAGACATTGATATTGCCTGAGTGGATAAAATGCATTACATAATGGTCAGCCTAGCAAGATCATAAGCTCATTTTGTTTTTGAAACCAAAAACAGAAAGGATAGAAAAAAAGTTTTTGAGTGGCCGCTGGTTGAGCCGTGCATGATATTAGAGGTAGATTTGGAGTGCTACTTATTTAAGTGATACAAGATAAATGGAGATTTCCAGTGTCCTATTGCAGTATCACATTACTCTTTTACCATTCCAACATTTAAGCCCAGTTCCATCTTTTACTTTGAATCACAATGATTTTTCCTATGTTATTTTTAACAAGTCTTTCCATTTTATGTGAAAGTGCAGCTTCAACAAAAAAAAAGAAGATTTGAAACTTTGATTTACCATGCCGAAAAAGCTCCACAAAAGCAGCAGCTTCCTTCCTACTTTATCCATCAAAACCATTGCAACAATGGATCCTGAAAATTATAAAAATCCATCCAGTCAAGAGACAGAATGCACTAGTTTTAGATAGGTGAGTATGCAACTAAGAATCGAGGTTTACCTGACAAATTTGCAATTCCTATGAAGGCATTTGCAAGGCCTGATGGTACTCCGGCACTTTTAAATACAGTTGAGGAGAAGTAAAAGACAGCATTTATACCAGATAGCTGTTGTAAAGCAAATAGGGTTGATCCAATAAAAACAACTGCAAAAAGAATATGTAAATAACAAAGCACATTCGGAAAGCCGAAAGATCACAAGAAAGGGGAAATAAATACACCACATATGGATGGGGAGCCTATATATGCGCAAAGCCCATAGGAATTACCAGAAAGCATTGTATACCTCTAAAATGGCGACCGTACAGCAACTCTGAAAGCCTTACGGCATCTGTGTCATCTCCCCTGTCCGACTTGGCTAATTCTGCCATTGCAGTTTTGACATGTGATCCACCAAGGAGCCTCTCAAATTCAGCTTCAGCCTCATAAGTTCTTCCTTGCTATATCACATGAAAGAAAGAAAGTTAACATTTGTTTTCAGAGAAACAAAGAACAATTTAGAAGGACTATCATCTCCCAAAGCAGTACCAGACATTGAAAAAAAAAAAGGTTTATTTTATTATCTGCCCTTAACTAGCCCTCCCTCCCGCTACAACTCTAGATGTGTCAGTGAGAGATCACAATTCAAACGCTCAAAAAGCCTAGGAGAATAAAGGTTTTCTCAAAGTGAACAACATCCATTAGGGTATAATTTATGCTCAAGATGTTCAAAGGAAAGGACAGGATAGGAAAGGGGAGGACAGGACAGGTTTACAATACATGCATTCCAGACAGTCTTTTGGCATGTTACTGCCTTGATTCAAATGTGACTTTCCCAAAGACTTAATTCATTGAGAGCAACAGAAAGCAATTATTCTAGAGAATCATACATAGTCGATATTTCACTATTTTCAAATAAAGACAAATGAGAGAAGACCTTATGTAGCCAATGTGGACTCTCTGCACAGAATACCATGGCAAGAGCAAGTATTGCAGCTGGAATTGTAGATACCCAGAAACAAACACGCCACCTGACACATAAATTAAGATAGTAAGTTTGAAAGACTAAATAGAAGCAGAGATATTGTGAAGCCTATCATGTTCTTTACCAGCCAACAATTTCTTTGACAGGGATTCCAACAAAAAGAGCCCCCATTAGTCCAAGGCATGTTGCAATCTGGATGAGACTGCCATAAGTACCCCTCACAAAAGCAGGAGAAACCTGCTCAAGTAAAAGAGGAAACATCAGATAAGATAAGAAGCACGACTTACTGATAATTACAGAAAGGTTTATGCTAGATTACCTCTGTCACATAAAGAGAAGCAACAGGAGGGCCCAGGCCCATACCAGTCCCAACAAATAACCTCCCCAAAAGCATGCCAGCAAGAGTTTTTGTTGATGCACTGCAAATGCAGGTGGTACTTTTAGCCAGAATTCCTTCCAGTCGTATTATAAGAGGGACAGTGTGTATAGGTGCATATGAGTTTTGAGGACTACTTTTAGTTGTGGTTAAATATAAATGCATGTGGTTACATATGGATACCAGCAGATCATATACCTTCAATACCAAAACCACACTAATCTTCACTGAAACTAGTGATAAAAAGCATCATCTAAAGGGAAAAAATGTACATCCCAACTTATGTATGAGGATCAAAGAGATCCACAACAGAGGTACATGAAAATGGGCTCTGCCATAAAGTTATTTCACAACTCACAAGATACGAGGAACCTAACTACTAGACAAAAAGGACAATTACATAATCCAAAGAGAAGAACCAATCTCACAAAATAAAGCTCCATGTAGTGCTTAATCAAAATGATAATCCCATGACACAGTTGCTTTTCAAAGTAAATATATTACCTCATAACAGCACCAATAATCATAGGCAATGCACAAAGTTGAAAAGCCCTACGACGTCCAACTCCATCAGCTACCCATCCACTGAATAATGATCCAACAAACGCACCTCCCAAACATGTACTCACTACCAGACCTTCATTTGATATAAATTATCAAACCCATTAGAATAGCTGAATGCAAAAATCAGAAATTACATTAGAACAAAGAAAGAAACAAAATATCAACTTCATGCAACCTTCTGCCAAGGTATTCCCCTTGAAGCCAAGATCTTTAGAAATGCTTTCAAGCGGTTCATTAACTACCCTGGACAAAGCAAGAGTTATAAAAAAAGGTATTCTTTTCTTTCATGCTTCAACATAAAACAACTGTGAGAGAGAGAAGAAGTGAAGTGTGACCACCAACCCGAGATGGTAGCCAAACAAGAATGAAGATAGAGTTGCCACTACTACATGGGGGAAAGAAAGCCTCCAGGAAGGATTTGAAGGTTCTGGAACTGTGCTTTTCTGTAAAAGAGCTAAAAACATACCCGAATTAAGCCCTTAAATGAATTCTATACATATCGTAACTTGGTGCTCAATGCTTAAACAAGAAGACCTTAGAAGAAAACAGTGGTGTTCAGAAACAACTCTGACGCCACCCTTCCTTTTTAATTTGCTCTTACTGGTGCATCACTATAGATAACACATAGCTTAAATATACTTCAGATGATCAATAAATTGAGTTACCTGAGTTTTCTTCCACATCTATCGCATCCATAAGCTCTTTTGCTTCCATGTCAATGGTATTTGTATAGTCTCTCGATGACAAGCGCTTGTACATCGAATAAGCTTCGCGTTGGCGGCCACGCATGCTAAGCTTGCAACCAGCCTTCCTTACAAATAAAATAAAAATTTAGAATGATACCTTTGTAATACTAATATCCATCACTTCGATTAAAATTTAAAATACAAGCACTAACTTAACAGATGGCAAAGGAGACGCTCAAGACACGAAACTTATCTGATATTCCTCTTCTCATCTATTTTCTCAGGAGCCAAACAGATAATAAAATAATTATTATACAAATAGGAAAGAAAAAACACAAAACAGAGCATCTGCCAAACATGTCGACAATAAAACTGATTAAATATAAAAACAAACTCAAAATTCAAACAGAAGCAATAATCCATAATCAATTAAAATGCACTAATCAACAATTGAAAATGATGGACTAAAACCAAAATCAACAATTGAAAAGATGCTCCAAGATACGATTCAAAGAAATTCAACTCCATATAAACCTTTGAAAAAGCTAAGTACCTTCTCTAAGTTCCGATCATCCAACGGATCTGAAATACGAGCAGTGAATCAAGGACGTGTGAGAATGGATTTCGGCGACTCCGACACTCTTCACTCAAACTCCTTCACGACTCTGAAGTCTGAACTGTACGAACCTTCGCGAACAAAGCTCTCAACCAGATTGTCTATGTGAGAGTGAGAAGAAGTGCGTGTAAGATTGCGCCTGGTGCGGTGGTTCTGGTGTTAGAAAGGACGAGTGAGGAAGGAAGGTCTTGCTTAATTATGGAGAAAACAACGAGAGATTAACCTCTAGTTTTCTTTCGAGTCTAATACAGAGAGGAAAAAAAAACAGGGATACAGCTGATATTTAAATAATAGTTTATTTCTGTAAAATTAGCGGTATTTTAACTGTAAAATAAACCAAGCGTGGATCGGCTGCTACTGTGGGTCAAAAAGATGAGAGCTGTCAATGTCTTATGACCGCTACGACGTCGTATAGGTTGGCTTTATTGTCATTTTCAAATTGTTCCACGGTCCACGTTCTACCACGTGGCTAAGTGCAAAGAATGCAAGGGTGTCCGGCTGCGGGTGAGTTAATTTTGCGTGCCACGTGTTGGAATTCTTGGTAGTCGGTCTCTGTGACGTAAGAACCGGTGCAGCTTCCATCTGCATCTTTGAGATTTAAGTTTTTGTGTTTAGTCCTTGAAGTTTGGTTAAATTGCAAGGAGGGCTTAGAATAACAATTGAAAAGTTATTGCTGGGACCACATTTGTTGGATTATTTTATGGATGGGCCCGCCATGATGACGCGTGTACTAGGTTCAATGACTTGCATGGTAACGACAAGCGATCACATGAAGCAATTGATTTGAAAATGGGATGGGAGAGTCCCTCCCCGAATAATTGGGCTAGACTGTGGCTCTTTTTCATTTCTTTTAAGAGCACTTCCACCAGTTAGCCCCTTGCCATGACAAGGGGAGCCCTAGGGCAGCTACTATTTACGTGAATAGTGGCTGCCTTAGCACCCAAAAAAAAGTGTGTTTCCAGCAGTGCAAGTCTTGCCATGGCAAATACTATTCATTTTTTTGTTTTTTTTCACAACTTTGTTTACTTAAACATTTGATTTGGATAATATTTTCGGATAAGATTTTTAGGTTCCTACGTGTCAATACTATTCATATCGGATAAGATTTTTTGTTTCAAATTTCATATAAATTTCAAAATTCAAAATTCAGATAAATCAATACAACTAATAAAATAAAATACATGAATGACCACTAATTATTAAAACAAAACAAAAAAACACAATGAAATGAAAGGCAAGATTTTATTTTATCGGATAATATTTTTGGATAAGATTTTATTTTATTAGTTGTATTGGTTGGTATTTATAGAAGAAAAAAAAAATTATGAGGATTTGGTGTTAAAAGTGAAGAGTATTGGTTGGTATTTATAGACACTGACGAACTCGGAATTTTTTTAGCGGAAGTGCAATATTGACTAAGTATGAAAAATGGTTTTTTGGAATAATCATTTTCTCAAGATAATTTTTGGCGGCTTTTATTCCTTACACATCAAATAAGAAAACTTGATTTTATGGGATTTTAATATGAAGTATATATTGACTTAATGAGCCATCATTTTTAGCCTAAATCGTATTTTTCACTAAAACCGATTTTTCATATTTTGATTTGGTGGGAATTTGATTTTCTAGTATTTTTATTTGAATCCAAATGGGGGGTACTTCCTTATTTACATTGTAAACTTAAGTAAATGGAGTAATATAAAAATAAATAAAAGTAAAAGGACAAAGACATTTACTTAAATGTTGAAAATGGAAATAAGGTATAGAGAGAAGAAAAAAAAGTAATTTTTTGGTATTTTTTTCAATTTTTTCGGATTTTTTTATTACAAAAATATTAGCTGCCGTTGGATTAGAGCAAAAATTATGATCGGAGAACCCAGGACACGACACATGGCACATAATTGTTGGCGGACACTGTAGCGCTGACGTCATGACGACGTCAGCAAGGGCCAGCCCTAGCTGGAGCTCGGGCCAGCCTTGCCCTCCGGCCAGCCCGTTTTGCTGGGTCCCCCCATCTTGCCCGGGCCTGACTCCACTGCTGGAAATGGGTTTTTACCCCAAACCCCCCCAGCCCTCCCCCAAACCCCACTGCTGGAAATGCTCTAATAGAGGCGGTCTTTAGATTAATTGGATCTTATGGATAATTGGGCCAAAACCCACCTAAACAAAATCCGTAAATAACTTATTTTTTAAATAAATAAAAATAAAAATCATTTCATGCCTTAGACAAATCATATGTAATTAAATATGTTTTAATTATTATTATTTTAGAGAATAATTAGTATTTAAATATTTCAATTAATTGCATCAATTACTTAATAAATTGTAACTAATTATTTGAAATTATTTTGTAAAATATTCTATTTAAATAGTATAGCCGCACGGCTATACTGTTAAATTATTGTATTTAAAGAGTATAGCCGCGCGCCTATACTGTTAAACAATTCTGTTTAAAGAGTACAGCCGCGCGGCCGTACGGTTAAAGAGTATAGCTATATTGTTAAAATTTCTATAGGGTATAGCCGTGCGGCTATACCCTTAAATTATTGTATTTGGGGACAGCAGATCTCAACTCCCAATTAAACACACACACATACTGTAAAAATAAATATACGAATAACTCATATACGTTACTATTCATATTCCTTAAACACCCCTATCCTCATTACGTCAAACCAGGAATAGTGTCTCCCTTCTCCGTAATTTCAAACAAAGTTCTCATACCCACTTCTAGGGCTTGCATTACCCTCGCACCTCTGTCTTGCGACTCATCGCTATCGAACAGCGAAGCGCACAGAACGATGGGTTCAAGGGACAAGGACCAAACGACATCGCATCATCAGCCTCTTCTGAGCAGCCTTGTCGTCCGGCCCTCCACCAGCGACGGCGGTGGCGATGGAGGTGGCCGTGGCAGCGATTACGAGCTCGGCGAGGTTCGCCGTGAGCCTCCTCAGTACACTCGTTCGGATCGTTACAACGATGATCCTGGTTCGTCTCTCTATTCTCAGCTTCCATCTTTATTTGTTATGGTGATTTCTGCTCAAATTGGATTGATTTCTAGTGCTTTATGAATTTGTGTGTTCTTATTTTGGTTTTGTTATATGCCATTCTCTTTTCATTTTGTTATTTTGTTATTTTGTTATTTTGTTGTACTTAATTTGATTCGTCGTCGGATTTTAGCATTTTATCTTATAGATTCAATAATCATAATTATTCATTTATTTGTGGTGTGTGTTTGAAGTGCAACTTGTAAAACAAAGAGGTTCATGTCATGGAATTTGTTTTTTATGCTTCTATGAGCATAGATTTTGAACTATATCAATTTTGTGTTAGAACTTCTTAGTTCATCAGTAATTGATTTTTGAAGCTTAGCATATGCTTGATCATATTTATGATTATTATAAGCGACTACGGTGAATATTGCCCTATTAGTTTGTGATAGTCATACAACAAATGGGTTTCTGGGTTTCTTGAACCTTTTGTTTGTTTACACTGCATGTCGAGCATGTGGATCTGTAACCGCTTATAGAGTGTCAAACTGTGAATAAATTCTGCTATTGTGTCTTACAGCTCTGAATGTGCCTGCAAGAACTTGAATCTTGAGGAAGGCATGTTGGTGTGAGTGCAGTCTTGGATCATGGTCTGGGGGAATTGTTTTTTCATATTGTGGGTATTTTTGTTTGTGGGAGATTCATGGGAATCGTATATGATGTGTGAACTCGTGGGTTGCTGCATCAATGAATATCGGTTGCTGGGCCTCATTTTGTTGTATTGCCTATGATTGTGGTATTTGTCTGAATTTTTATGGGATTGATGATTAGATTATCGGGTTCATATCAAATAAGAGTTCATTGAAATGCCAATCAAAAATGGAAGTTTGAATGGGATTTATTCTTAAGAATTTCGGGGCACATGACGTGGTGCAAGCATTGTGGGGAACTTAACACCACTAATAGTATCATTTTGGTTATTTTGAATTGCAACCAACAGTGAGGATGGTTTACTTGAGATGCTGCTGGAAGATGGAAAATTTGGTTATCAATTGCGAGATGGTGGAAATTCAGTTCGGTTAAGGGGTACTGAATTTACTATGTGGGTATGTAACACTAAGGAAGATGTGTTTCCTGGGTAATGTTGAGCTTTTCTTGTTTCCTTGGTTTTGTGCTTCTTTACTTTGTGGTCGGGAATTGTGTTTGATAGTGGTGGTTTTGTTGCAGTCTCATGTTTCATTTTTCTTTTTTCTTTTCTTCAGATGCCTTTATAGGATTAGTGGATGGTTATATAGTCACTAATATGAGTTTATACTTCTCAGCATTGTTAAATTTGGTGTAGAGTGCAGGAACATTCGGGAACTTCTTTTAGTATGTTCAATTCTAGGTTATCATGTATTTTGTAGGTTTTTGCTGTCTTTATATTTTCTGGGAGGTTAACTGCTACAGAAAATGGCTGCAGAACCCTTCAGCTTTTGGATGATAATTTCTATCCCCTTTTCTACTTTTAAATCCCACTTTGTCTCAACAAATTAACGGGAATTACCTATTCGGGTTGAGCATGCATCAATTGTTTCATCCCTCTATGCTGTTCAGAATGGTTATGCATCGCAGTTCAGTTCCAAGTTTATGAATCTTAGTAGAATCAGGGGTTTTGAATTTTTATAGGAAGATGCGAAGATGGTCTCTGAAGAAATGAACAAATTGGGAGTGGGTAAATTGTAGAAGTATATGAAGGCTTGAAGTTCAGTTGGTGTTCTTATTGGGCAGTTCATTTCATGTGGGTTGCAATTGGTTTCACTGCTACTTGTTGCAGTCATGTTTCAACTGAAGGTCTTGGAACTAATTTGTACTGGGCTTATTGTTATCTGTGGTGGATTAGTATCAAGTACCAATTAGGTGCATATGCATCTTCTTTATCTGTAGGCTGCATCTTCTTCCTTATCACTGCGAATGCTGTACAAGGTTATGGTATGGTTACTCCAGATTCATGATTGATGGGGTTTTTCAGATATGTAGGTTAAAAATTTGTGGCAAGCTTGTAATGGTTCATATGGTAGATGGATGTGGCTTTTGAAAATATAAAACTGTGTAATTTGATTGTTCTCGATGGTGAGCAGTTACCCTATGTGTTGAGGACCGTGGGGTTGAGTAAACATGCTTGTTGCTGTATTTACTGGTATTATGCGCCAGTTGTTTGAGAAGTAACAAGGGCAGTTATTGTCTGAACTTCTTATTCTCTTCAACACTTGTATGATGTTTCTTTTAACTACCACAATGAAGAGATCCTGAGTGATGGTAACAGCCCTTACAAACTTTGAAATGATCATATGGAAGTTTCAGGGTCACAACTCCTAATCCCTCGGCTACTGACATTATAATCCCGTTGTCTGTTTTTCTGTGCAATTGGTGGTTACTTATCTTTTCCATTCACTACCTTCTCCAGGATATAGAATGCGTGCAGGTTCTGCTTCTCCTGTACACCGCAGGGATGCAGATCATCGATACAGTTCTGAGTATGATCATTCAGGTGGTCCCCTACGCGGTCGTGAGTTTGGCAGTGCGCGGGATTCCGGTAGATATCGAGACAACTCACCCCATTATGCTAGAGGAAGGGGTGCTGGCAGACCATTCAGTAGAGGTTTAGATGGGCCGGGGCCTGGCCCTGGGCCGTTCAGAGGTGAAGGGAGTAGAAATAATCCAAATGTGCGCCAAAGGCTTGGAGACTGGATTTGTCCAGATCCTTTGTGAGTACATTTTCACCCTTTTATCTTCTTTGTTTAGGTTTTCCTCATTGCAACTTGTCAGTGCTATGACTGCATCGATGTTTCTGATTCCCGTGATTCAGTTTTTAAGGCAGGATTTTGAAAAGGGAAGGACAATAGAGAGGAAAACATGCATGTAGACTTACAAAATCTTGTTACAAGTTTCAAGAATTTTATGAATATTCAAATCTATTGAGTAGAACTGCTCAACCAAAAAAAAAAAAAAAAAAAAAAAAAAAAAAAAAAAATATAATATCTATTATTTAGTGGAGCTTATCCAAGTTGCATGTAATTTCTTGCATTTTAATAAGTTTTCTAGGAACTAGTCACAGTGATCAAATTATGAATTTTAATAGCTGTATGTAGCATCATGCGAGTTGTTTTTAAGTGCAAGGTGTTCCTGTTTTCTGATTGTGGCTTAGGTCGGAAAAAATTTCCTTTCATTTTGCAATGTGAGTTAATGCTTGTAAATACGCATTCATCATGTTCCAATCCATATATTCTTTACGTGTCTCAGATGTGGCAACCTGAACTTTGCAAGGCGAGAGTACTGCAACAACTGCAACAAGTTCCGCTACGGACCTGGTGGAAGTCCTCGAAGAGGTTATCCTGGCCCACCACCTCCCAGTGGTCCTCCTAGACGCTTCCCTGGTCCTCCAGTTGATCCTCCACTTGGAAGGAGCTTGAATGGTGGCTATAGGTCTCCACCTCGTGGCTGGGCTAGAGATGGCCCTAGAGATTTTGGCGCTGGGATGCCACCTCCAAGGCATGAAGGCAGGTTTCCTGACCATCAAATGCGAAGAGATCGGTTGGATTACTCAGACAACCATAGAGGAAGAACCAAGTTCGATCGGCCAATGCCCATGGATTGGGGTAATAGGGATCGCGGAAGGGATAGCTTCTTTAATGAACGGAAAGCATTCGAAAGGCGACTGCCCTCTCCTCCTTCACCACCACCACCAGCAGCCCACCGTGGCCGATGGGCACATGATGTTAGAGAGAGAAGCCGGTCCCCATTAAGGGGTGGGCCACCGCCAAAAGATTATAACCGGCCTATGTACATGGATCGAGGACGAGATGATCGTCGCGGTATGGGGCGAGGCCGAATTGGAGATGCATATTAACAATAGGCCAGGGGCATGTTTTGCTGGTGTAATTTTGTCTCGAGTAGATATCTGTTTCTCATCTAGAGTGTATGGAAGAGTGCGCATAGCTTAGTCCTAATTTTAAGATTTCGTTTTTGAATTGGTTTCTGTGACTTTGAACAGGTTATATGCTCTCTCTTCTGTCAATGTTTCTTGGGTGACGTTTGTCTATATGATGGATATTTCGCTGCTATTCTTGCTCTCTGTATTTTAGTACTTGAAATCAGTTGAAGCCGACTCCATATTTTGCTCGGAATCTTCATATCTACAACCAACTGCAGTAAGATGGGGCCCATTTCTTAAACGCACAAATGGGAAATCATGTTTGGTAAGTCCAGCATTAAATGCACCTTTTTAATGACCATATTGCTTGGAAATGATAGGAAATGGTTGCCTCTTACATAAGGGGAGGGGGGGAAGAAATTGAAATCCTCCAATTTTTCCTTCCCGTGGGAAACTAACGTCAGCATTAAATGCACCTTTTTAATGAACAATTTGTCCCCCATTAACAATGTAGAATTATGATATAGCATTAAATGCATTTCTTATTATTATCTAATATGGGTATAATTGGAAATTAAACAAACTTCCGATGCCCTGCCAAAAAGGCCTTATCATACGATAATTTCTTTATTATAATTATTTTTTATCACTATTTAAAGAAAATTAAAAACCAGACTTATGAGATAATCTGAGGGAGCAATTTATATCAGAATCTGTTGTAGGGCGAGAAAACGAACACAGGGATCTTAGGTGCAGGAGGAAACGAACACGGGACCTCGAATGGAAACGAGCACTGGACCTTGAATGGAGGATGAACACTTATAACCTGCAATTCGTTTAAGGAACCACTATGCATTATTATTTGCCTTGTTTAATGGCTGAAACAACTTGAGCAATGTTCTGAAATTTTCGCCTCTCACTGAGAAGCAGCTTTGCCAACTGAAGAGCCCTTCGCTCGCAACCCGCCCGTTTGCTAGCATCACTGATCGCCTCAAAATCCTCAACATGCGCCACTCCAACAATTCTCCTTATCATCTTGGCAGCACCAAATCCCAGGGTGTCATGAAACAAATCTTCCATAAATTTCTTCTGCACAAGCTGCTGAATCTCAGAGCTGTTGTAAATCGCAGGCAGATAGGCCTCACCAGAACCATCTTTGTGCTGATCCCACAGAGCTATAAACTTGTTCTGAAAAAGATTCCAAGTGTTCTCAATTGTCCTCAAAATCCAACCTTTGTATGCTTCTCTATCATTCTTTTCATCCGCGTGCCCATCTTGTGCACAAAAAGCCAAAATCAAGTTGCCCAAAAAAGCACCAACATCAAAACCCATTGGCCCATAAAATGCAAATTCAGAGTCTATAACTTGGGTTGATTCTTGGGTCACCATTACGGAACTGGTATGAAGATCTCCATGTATCAGAGCTTGGGCTCTCTCACAGAAGAGAGATTTCAACTCAGCAACCTCAATCTTCAAAGCCTCATCTTCCCTCAGAGCCGCAGCATCAGAATCAAGATAAGGAGAGGTCCATCGATTATATTCAGAAACTTTGTAAGGATCAGAAAAAACGACCTGCTCGGTGAGCCTGCACATCTCCACATTCCCACAAAACTCAGCAACACCTTGTTTGTGCTCTGTTGTGGAATTGTAAATGAGGGAAGTGTAAAACAGAGTCTTCGACATATAATCCGACATGTCGTCCGCCAGCAGAGGGTACTCAATCCCAGCAACCAACCCTTTTCTCAGAATGATATGCGGAGGCTTCAAGTAACGCATTGCAATCAACGACATAGTGTGATCAAAATGATAAACTTCAGGCACGTGGCCGGGACACAAATGACCGTGTTTTTTCAGCGCCGCTGCTTCAAAATAGGCTCGGTCTTTTGACATTGGCCATGCCTCGCCTATGCTACGCACGTATGTAAGAGCCTGCTTGATGACAAAAGAACCAGAAGAACCAACGACGATGAAGACGAAGTTGAGGTTGCCATCTCCTACTTCTTTGATTTCCAAGCCGTTGAGGTTGTTGTGGAGCTTGGAACAGAGAGAGGGTACAGATTTTATGTAGTCTATGAGGGATGTCTCGTCCAGTGGCCGAAACTCAGAGAAAGCCTTAGCCATGGCTGTTTGATCTTGTGCTTTTGGGTTGAGATGGTACATAAATAGGGAGGTCTGTTTTATCTTTACCTTGTGGTTCTCCTCCCCACTGTAATCCTTTTCAATTTATTTGAATAGAATTACATTGACCAAAACAAAAAGGTACATGAATAGGGAGGTCTTTTTTATCATGATTCATGAATGATGCATGCATAACGTGGGAATTAGATGTGGATTGGACGGTGAAGGTTCAATGTTTTGGACTTTGTAAGAGAATTAGACAATTGGGAGACTTCCTGCTAGGGCTGCATTGAACTTGGTCGAGCAAGTAGTATGGATTCGTATTTGAACAAAATGTCATAATTAATCTCATAAGGTTTTGTTAATTTATGACAAGTAATAGTTGGATTCCTTTTTTTTCATCTCAATGATATATTGGTTTAACGATACTTTTGATGTCATCAACGGATCCATATAATTTAGTGATAAGAGCATTTGCATGCATATTAGTGGTCTCATGTTCAAACCCAAAGACATTTCCTCGAATTGATTACTGAAAAGATGTTGTCCTATTTCCTAGAATTGTAGTCATTGTTTAAGAGGAAGACACTTTGAATTTTCATTGAAAATATTAGGGCTTTCCACAAATATTAGTTTAAACAAAATTATAAGAAGAAGAAAAAGAAAAAAAAGCAATAACCGCACCGCACTTTGTGGTTAAAATATAGGTTTTTATTGATCCAATTCAAGGCAAGACGTTTTTGTAATTAATTTAGGATTTGAGAAACAGAATTACATTTTAAATATATATATATATTTTTTTGTTGACATGAATTCAGCACGTTTTTATGTGTGTTTCAGTTGAGAAGAGATTGTTCTTCCGCATCCTGTCCGTCCATTCCGTGCTTCGTACCAACTAAGAAAAATCTCCAATCACAAATCATAAAGACTTGTTGACCGAACCAATATTCCAATCCCAATTAACTAGCTACCTCAAAGTGTGCAATTTCCAACACGACCTTTTTTAGCGCCAACTCTATTTTATTTACTTCTACCCTTTAACCGTTTTACTGGACCGAATCTTATTAAAATTAACCCGGTTTTTCACCACCCTAATCCAAATCAATACGTGATCTCTCCAATCACGCAGTCCACCTATACAACACGTGTCAGAATCTCACCCCCGAAAATCAATTTTTTCCCTGGTGCTGTGCCCACAGGATTTTGATTTCCATAAGATACTTCCATTCACTGTCTCATCACACCACTTTCACTTTGGTGGAAAATTTGTAATCTTATTGTTACCGAAAAATAGAAAATTTGTAATCTTACTAAATCTGACGGTCAACCGCTGACCTTACTCTCTTCTATGAATTCACACCGTCGATTACCACTTTTAACACTCACCGCCAGATCAAACCTAGGATCCCAATCTCACCGTCAAAAAATCACAAAATTGAAATTCAAAACACAGCAAGAGAGAGGGAGGAGAGACGAAGGAGAAAGAAGAAGAACCAGAAAAGAGGGCCTTAGCTGCCTTCTCTCTTCTCAGTCCCCTATCTAATTCTCAAAGCCTCGTTTTTTCTCTATACATTTTCTCTTTAGGAATTTTTTTTTCTCTCACCCTCTCCGTTTTACAATTCGGCGTCGTTTGGATTGCAGCCACCACTGGCCGAGCTTCGCCGCGAATCTTGAGCTGCAAATTCGCACAGGAGTGTTTGAATCTTTTAGATGAATCCGATTGTATTTTGGATCTGAAACCGTGAAATTTGGAAAATTTCGGCTATTATCTGACAGTAATCACTGGATTGAGTTTATCCGCAGAGGAAAAAAATTCGAAACTTTGGTGAAATTTGAATTTTTATATTTGATGGGGGAAGCTGACGGGGACGAGTCGGCTCCGACAAAGGGGCAATCGGATGCGGCACCAGCCGCTACGACGTCATCTTCGTCTTCGATGAGCGATGTTCCGGCGAAGAAGCTTGCGAGGCAGCTGGATTTCACGGGATTTGGTGGCGCACCGGCGAGTGTGGCCGTGCCGGAGCTCCCTAAACCGCAACTGGCGACCGTGTCAGTGCAACAGAGTCAGCCAAAGCCACCTGTAGTGTCTGTGCCGGTACCCGTTCCACCGCAGCCGCCCATATCTTCAGTGAGGCCTGTGTAAGTTTGTAGCTTTTCATATGAATATGCAATGAAGTTTAATTTGTTGGGAAAAATATTGCCGCTTAATAATTGTATGGTCCGTTGGTTGCTTATTAGTTCAATTTGATTGAGAAGTTCGGATTTTGGATTGTGAGGTAATGTGGGAAAACTGCTCAAAATTGGAGGCGGCTTGAGAGCATTGTTTTGGAGAATTTAGTCTGTGAGCTGGTATATTTTGGGGTCTATTAAACAATCTTTTGATTTTGTTTGAAGGATTGATTTTGGAGGGCGAATTTGTTATGTTTTGGGTATTTTTGGGAGTGTTTAATACGAGTTTGCTATTCGAATTGCTAAAGTTCGGTTACTTGAACTACTGCATTTGTAAACGAATAGGAGAATTAAATTTGTGTTTCCAAAATAATTTCATTTGATGAATTCATACTTTGAATTCACGTTTTTTATTTGGGTGGGCAGATGGAGTGGGGAAGCCATGTGTTTGCCACGAGCTACTCCTTCAGGGCTTTTTTTCTTCTGATAATTTAGTTTTGATTAAAGATGCTTTAGTCTGCGATCAAAATCTCTCTTTGCCTCTCTCTCAATTTCAATTTACAATATCTCATACCCTTTTAAATGTGAGTATTGACTTTTTTTATTTTACACAACATTCGTTGAACTGAGTCCGGGATTTTGGGACCCTGATTTCCACCTCCAAGGAAAGGATGCCTTAAGGATGCCTTACCAAGAGGCATTGACTTGCTTTCCTTCTGGATTTGAGTTGTAATGTTGGTTATGATTGATGATCAATCTTTGTTCCTTTAATGCATTACTGAATTTTTTTTGTACAACCTCTGTTTATTTGCACATAGAGACACATATGAAGATACCAGTGTGGCTTCAAGTGAAAATCTTCATGTGAAACCTCTGTTTATTTATATTTAAACACTGTTATTTTTCTTTCTTAGGAAACCAGAATCCCCAAAATCAAGACCAAGACCCAATGTTGATGCAAAAGATGGTACTCCTAAGAAGCAAAAACAGTGTAATTGTAAACACTCTCGCTGCTTAAAGCTGTAAGTGCATAACTTCTCTGCACTAGGTTTGTATGAAAAAACCATTCCATCCAGGAGTTGATATTTTGTTACAGTTTTTCTGATTTTCTTAACCTTAAATTTTAATGCTTCGTTTAAGTCTCTTTTGAAATTCTTAATTGTCGTCAACAATGTTCAATTTACATGAATTTTGTGTTACAAAGAACTATAACCCATGCATGCAGAAACATGAACGTTGACATGAAGCGATTTCCTTGTTATCTTGTGACCAGGTATTGTGAGTGTTTTGCATCTGGAATTTACTGTGACGGTTGCAACTGTGTAAACTGTTGCAATAATGTTGAAAATGAAGGTGCTAGGAGAGATGCAGTTGAAGCTACATTAGAGCGTAATCCAAATGCATTCAGGCCAAAAATTGCAAGTAGCCCTCATGGACCAAGGGATACTCGGGTATGTTTCTCTTAGTTTGATGGACTACTTTCAGACATGATGGCTATTTTCTTTTACCTTTTATGATAGTTTAAAGTTGATAGCATTCAAGGAAATCTTGTTTTTTTTTTTTCAATAGATTTTGTTGGCTTCATCTGATATGAAACTTTGTACTGAAAGCTACGTTTTAGTGTGCATGACATCATGAACTTCTGACTGGTGCTTTTTATTGTTTTTAAGTGATGAAATTATTACTTCATTACGATTGTAAACCTGACCTTTTTCGCTCCACTGACTTTGCTAAGAATTTGAGGACATAACGTTGCTCTGCAATCAATTAAGTCTTGTAGGAGTGTATGAGAGTATCATTACATGTCGAATTTCTTTTGAATGGTTTATGAGTTTGTGGTGTGTATGGTCTTTCCATTTTGGATGAATTTTCTATGTTTTTTGCTTTGTTATACCATCACAAAAATGGCTTAGATGAAAGTTAATTCCTTGTTTTACTCCAGTAACAAATTGAATTATATACCTGTTAATTAGAATTGTATTAAATATTCTGCTATCAGTGGCTTTAACTATAAAACCCTTCATTGGATGTTATTGTGGGCTGGCTTGGAAATGTGTAGGAGGAAGCAGGTGAGGTTCTGATCTTGGGAAAGCACAACAAAGGATGCCATTGCAAGAAATCAGGGTGCCTGAAGAAATACTGTGAATGCTTCCAAGCCAACATTCTCTGCTCTGAGAACTGTAAATGCATAGACTGTAAGAACTTTGAGGGAAGTGAAGAGAGACAAGCTTTATTCCATGGGGACCATGGAAACAACATGGCATATCTTCAACAGGCAGCAAATGCTGCCATTACAGGAGCTATTGGATCCTCTGGCTATGCGTCATCACCCCCAATATCCAAGAAAAGAAAAGGTCAGGAACTCTTTGGACCGACAGCCAAGGATCCATCAATTCACAGGATTGGACAGTTCCAACAGGTAAATTTGGTCTCGTAGTATAACAAATAACTTTGGACAAATTAGTTGGTGTTTACTCAATGGAAAAAATGTTGCTAGTATGGTAGTAAGAGTATGATTTTTGAGAAACTCCCCTGACCCATTAAGATTACTAGTAGAAATCATGTTTATTGAGATTCAGATTTTTTTTTTTCCGGTTTACTTCATCCTGACACTGATTTTGGTGGTTAAATGCGGAATGCTCTTTGTGTATGTTTCTTTGATACCATGTTATGTTTTGGGATAGCATCATTAAATGTGTGTTTCATATAATTTTCAGGGAAACCATATCAGACCCCCTGCTCCCTCTTCTCTGGCTTCGGTCCCTGTTAATCGTCTTGGTGGTACTGCAGGATTAGGGCCTTCTAAGTTTACATACAGGTATAATTGGTTTTCGTTATAAACTACTAAAGTACGTGGTATGAAACTAATTTGTGTATGGTTGTTGAAGGTCTCTCCTAGCAGACATCATACAACCACAGGACTTGAAAGAGCTTTGTTCAGTTTTGGTTGTTGTAGCAGAAGAAGCTGCAAAGACACTTGCAGGTAGTTTATTGTTTCATGTATGACGAATCACTAGTCTTCAGAATTCATCGTGTAAGATGATATATTTTCTTCCTTTCACAAAAGGTTGTCTTAGCCTGAATGACTGCAAATGATCTTAGGGATGAGATATTGAGAGTTGGGTAGTGTCACACCATGGACCATAAAATGATTAAATCTGGAAAATGTTTAGAGTGCATCTCTTTAAGAAGTAAAATGCTTGGGTGTTAAAAGTGATAATACTGACTGTGAATTGCTCCGGAACATATAGTCATTTCTACCTAGACAATGAGCTGTGAAACATCACTTGTGTGGTAAATTAAGTTTTACTAGTTAAGCGAGAACTATAATCTACCTTCAAATAAATCACCTTCCATCTCTCATCTGATTTTGGTTTGTCTTTGTCTGGGTAAAGACACATTTAACTACTAATAGGGCATTATAGGAAAAATTCAATTGTAAATTATCTATTATGTAGTGACCTTTCAAATGGTTCTAGTAAATATAAAAAGTTGTGCCTTGGTATGACTTAACATTAGTATGTCCAATCTATCCCAGAACAAAGGAATACAGCAGAGAAGCCGACAGAGACTTCCCTTGCTTCAACGACACAAGATAGGTTGCAAAGCCAAAAGGAATCTGATGCTCAGAAAGCTGTGGCTGATGATTGTTCTAGTGCAAATGAGGCTGATAAAATCAGCCCTGATGATTCCAATTCAGATGGTGCTGATGTGCCCAAAGGGAGGCCAATGTCTCCTGCAACTTTGGCATTGATGTGTGATGAACAAGATACAATGTTCATGTCAGCTGCTTCTCCTAATGGATTAATGGGCGATCGCTGCAACACATCTTCACAGTTGCCTAATGGACAAGGAATGACAGAGGTCTATGCAGAACAGGAAAGGATTGTTTTGACGAAGTTCCGAGATTGTCTTAATAGGCTCATTACTTTTGGAGAAATAAAAGGCAAGTCGATCCTTTTTCTTATCTGGACTAAATATGGTATAAAGTTAAAAGTTTTCCATAATAACCAAACCCTCTTTCACTGTTCAGGCTAAAAACTGTCAGGATAGTTAATTTTTGTTTTATTGTTTGGATACTTTATCTTGTAGGTTTATCTAGAGTGGTTGTTTCCTTGTGAAAAGCTAGGTGCACGACTCTGCAATCAGAAACTTTGAATTACAGTCATCCAGCTGTAATTACACATCCACATTACAATTGTAGTTATACATCCCCTTGTAATTACACATCCACAATACTACTGTAATTACAACCCCCGAATGGTGGGCGCCTGTGCAGTGTTGCATGGCCCTGATCTTGATAGGCATTCAAAATATATAATTTTTAAAAAAAAGAAAAAAAAAAGGAAGAATTGACAAGAACTGATGGCAATTAGTTCACTTAAGTTGAAATCTCATTTCCAACCAAAAAAAACAAAGGTTGAGATTGCAATTAGCGTCTGCAGTCCACGGTTCAGATAATTTGTTAACATTATTTAGAATTTATTTTTCTCTCACCACTTGAACATTGGCAATCAATGTACCTCTTCCATTTAACCTTGCAGAAACAAAGTGCTCATCATTAGCCCGGAGTGAAGCAGAAACTCAAAAAGAGCAGCCCAGCAATGGCAGTACAAAGGCAAGAATGGAAACAGGAAATCAGCAGGGACCAGTTAGCAATGGTGTAGCAAAACCTGCTGTTCCACTCACGGCCAAGACGACAACACCACATATGGTTGCTGCGTTAGCCGTTAGTAAAAGTCCCTCCCATCCGGAAAATGGAGAAAGTAGACCGAAAGATTAAAACAGACCTGTAAAGATTTAGCACACAAGATTTGCCCAAGGTATTGTTTTTCTTTGACTTGTCTACGTCTCAGCGCAAGACAACAGTACTAGGAAGTTAGGAACAACTCTTAGAGGTATCCCATTTTTCTCTTTTCTTCTTTTAAGGTTATTAATATATTTATAGATTAGTGTTTTTTTTTTTGTTAGATTTAACCATAGTGAGGTCGAAGTGGTGTAAAATGAAGAGCCTTGTAATTGCACAAGATATCATTTTAGATCGTTACACAGAAATTAACATCATAGTATTGCCTACATGTTAGGATTTTGATCTTTGCACATGTGGAGAAACAGCGAGCATTTACCACTTATCGTGGAAATAATATGTAACTTAGTTTTCCTTACTGGAGTAATTTCATTACTCTTTATTATGCGCCTTGTGTTTAACAATTTTCGTTGCCTCTTTCAAGTGCCGTTCTTTCTTCACAAAAGGTTCTCCCATTCTCTGAGGAAGAGAACGAGGGGGATTTTATCCCAATAGCAACTTTTGGTTACCTTTGTTTCAACCCTTGAAAAATTTGAGGTGTGTAGCCAGCCTAAACCCTTAACCCTAACCTTAAAACATTCTAGGTATTCCTCTCCATGCTTCTTTTCTTCATCGAAAAAGTTGTACTTTGAAACATGAAGTCTCTCGCATGAGTAAAACATGAACGGTTCTATGCTCTAAACACAAGAAACTATTTGTTCCTATTTTCTTAAACAAAATAGATTTGGAATTCTTTTTGAATTGTACACTTATCAAATTTCAAAATGGTGTTCTTCAAATGACTAATCCCTCTATCCCTCTAAAACATATTCAATGCCTTTCCATTTCAGTTTCAATCAGTTGGCCGCAATTTCCATCAAGGAGCATTATGACTAAAATATAGTACAATAATTCCATGAATTATGAAAGAAAAAAAAAAGTGATTATGGATCCTTGAGTAGCTTTGCGTTGCTCTGCAGGCTTGAGTTTCCCTTTAGATGTTTAGCCACTAATAATTGTTTCTGCATATACACATATGGAACGTGAATTAATAGCCTTAGCCGTACGTACAAGGAGATACATGGCATTGGCAGAGAAGAAAGAAATAACAGAAGCAGAGGCTTCCCTTCCCTTCCCTTTCTTTGTGGAAGTTGTATAAAAAATAAATATAAACTTAGTTTCTTTAGGTCCCAAATTTTTTTTAGTAATTAATTAATATCTTAGCTTTTTTTAGTTACTTTCATTTGTAATTATGTTTTAATTAATATTTATTTAGTGGATAATTAGTATAAATATTTTAATTAACTTCATAAATTATATTACTTAATAAATAGAAATTAAATTTTTTTTTCTTTAATAATAAAGGTATAGCCAAGCGGCCATACGCTTGAAACTTTCTAGTTAACGCGTATTGAAATATTCTACTTGTAGAGTATCGCAGGGCGGCCATGCATTTGAAATATCTTCTTATAGCGTATAGCCGCACGGCTATACTGTTTAAATATTCTATTTAATATTCTTCTTACAGAGTATAGCCTATACCTTTGAAATAGTATGCAGTTTATAAAAAATAAATATAAACTTAGTTTCTTTTAGGTCAAAATTTTATTTAAAAAAATAAAATTCTTTTTAGCAATTAATTCATATCTTAGCATTTTTTAATTACTTTTATTTGTAATTATGTTTTTATTATTACCTTTTTAGTGCATAATTAGTATTAAATATTTTAATTAACTTCATAAATTATGTTGCATAATAAATAGTAATTAATTTTTTTCCTTTGATAAAATATTTAAATACTAATTATTCACTAACTAGATAATAATTAAAACATAACTACTAATTAAAGTAATTAAAAAAGAAATTTTCATATTATGCTATTAAAAGGTATAGCCGTCCGGCTAGACTCTTGAAACTTCCTATTTGAGAGTATATCCGCACGGCGATACTGTTGAAACTTTCTATTTTAGGGTCTCGCTGAACGGCTATACTTTTGAAACTTTCTATTTTAGGGTCTAGCCGCACGGCTATACCTTTGAAACTTTCTATTTTATTGTATCGCTGTTCGGCTATACTGTTGAAACTTTCTACTTAAAGTGTATAGCCGCCCGGCGATACGTTTGAAATATTATTCTTATAAAGTATAGCCAGTTGGCTATAACGTTGACATATATTATGCTTGCAAAGTATAGCCGATCGGCTATACTGTTGGAATAGTTTGTATTTTATAAAGAATAAATATAAACTTATATTATTTAGGTCAAAAAAGTTTTACAAAAAAAATTCTTTTGATACTTTCATTTGTAATTATGTTTTAGTTATTATTTCTTTAGTGGGTAATTAGTATTAAATATTTTAATTAACTTCATGAATTGTATTACTTAATAAATAGTAATTAATTTTTTTCTTTAATAAAATATTTAAATACTAATTATTCACTAACTAGATAATAATTAAAACATAACTACTAATTAAAGTAATTAAAAAATTGAGATCCATATTATGCTATTTAAAAGTATAGCCGCTATACTGTTGAAATATTCTACTTGTAGAGGATAGCCGTTCGGCTATACTGTTGAAAAATTCTTCTTATAGAGTATAGCCGCCCGGCTAAACTGTTGAAATATTTTATTTAATATTCTACTAGCAGTATACAGCCGCACGGCTATATAAACTTAGTTTCTTTAGGTCTATAATTTTTTTTAAAAAAAATTATTTTTAGTAATTAAGTAATATCTTAGCATTTTTTAGTTACTTTCATTTGTAATTATGTTTTAATTATTATTTCTTTACTGAATAATTAGTAATTAATTTTTTTCTTTAATAAAATATTTAAATACTAATTATTCACTAACAAAATAATAATTCAAACATAACCCTAATTAAAAAGGAGAAAGCCATTGCCTTTTTTTCATTCTAAACATTTAAGTAAATGTATTATCTTTGTACTTTAATTTACTTTTTTATTACTCCAAAACAAAGAAAAAACCAAAAAAAAACAGATTTTAGCTGAGATGAGAAGTCACCCTAAACTCTGAAATTCATGTGATCACAGAGGATCATGATTGTGAATTTGTGATCTTTTTTGTATTATAATACAATATAAACTCCAAGGCATGTGAGTTCTATATATGGCCATGCCCATGAGAACTTGAGTCTGATGTCAGATATTTTATAAAACATAGAAAGAAGATATACTGGGAGAGGGGAGATACCTGAGTGGGAATCTGAGAGATGAGTCAAGGTGGGTTAGGTTTATATATATATGATAATATGAGGAGTTTTGTGTGATGGCCTTTATCAGACTCTCTAAAGATACAACATGGACTTATGTTGATACGAGAGTGAAAACAAATCAAGACGTTCTTTGCATTGAAAATAAAATTGATGCAGTAGACTGTCGCAGCAAACTTTTTTCTTTTGATGTTACTACTCAGTCCTAGTCAGATTTAAAATGTGTTGCAGAGGGTGTGAAGCCAGTAGGGTTCATGCTGAAATATCTTGTGGCTTTGAATGATAAAGAAATATTGATGGTTCACATCACAGGCTTTCAAAGCTAGATAAAGATGGAATGTACGTGAAGGAGCAAGTCAAAATTTTCGAATTTAATTTCGATGAGTACGTGAAGAAAACGCTGTTTATTTTCGAATATTTTACAGCACACTTGCTGAGACGCTGATCGAGATGGCCAGGCGGCCCCCAATTTGGGTGGTTCTTAATAAGTCCATTCACAAAGAGTGAGGGATAAAGGGAAAGGTTTATATTTTTATTTTGGAAACCAACTGCTTACGAAATCATCAGTCACCTTACATATTACAAGGAAACAACAACTCGAATCTTATTTTCCTGAATATCACATATACCCGACAACGGGTTGGAAATAGGTTTTTTACTTGCTTACATACGTGACCTTGAAGATGGGGATGTCGAAGCGGGTGCACACTGCAGGACAAGAAAAAATGTCACGAATTTACTTCAAATCTCGAAGTTACTTCAGAGGTTTTTTTTTGGAGGAGAATGAGAAAAGCTTCTAATATATCCAAATCCAATAAAGGGAAAAATTTGACAACGAAAATAAGAATCGTTGTTCTTACCAGTGGCACACCCTTCATTGCTCTTTCTTCCAAAAATCTCGATGGTCTGTAAAAGTTACCATATACTCCGGACCATTTCTTGAGACTATCGTATATATGCTTAGGCCCAACCAGGTCTGCCCAAAATATAATACCACCCCTGCCACAGAACAAAGAAAGAAACAAATGAAATAATTACTGTCAACCAAAGGACCATATTTCAAATTACACGCCCAAATGACTGAGTTACAGCCAATTCAAAAGCAAAGTTCAAGCAGGTATGAGGGTCAAAATGCAACTCACCGGTAAGATGGGAAACTCATCCCAAGAACAGATGCAATGTCAAGGTCCGATGCTCGAACAGCTATTCCTTCATCTAGAATACGACATGCCTCATTCACCACAGGGAAGAGTATCATCTCAAGAATTTCTTGGTCTGTAACAGATAAAGGCTGCCAGCCATTGTCCAGCAAACACAATTAGCATGAATATCACATAAAGCTATGAAAAGCAACTACATCAAGACAAGGTAGTTCCAATTATAGCATTGTTGTGCACAAATTAGTGTCTACTATCTTATCTAAAGCAAAAGTACCTTGCCACCAGGCATAATATTGGTAACTCGTCTAGATTCCTCAATAATTGGTAGCACAGAAAGATCAGGTTTTGGCTTGCTTCCCTTTTCATAAATGTAATATCCCTTCCCATTGTTTTTACCTAGAATTCCAAAAGAAAAAAAATGGAATAAAGAACATGTAAAAGCATTATAATACCCCCACAAGTCTAACAACATTGGTGAAGCTCTACACTACCATTTCGTCCATGTTTGATCAAGATCTCAACCAATGGAGATCTAAATGTGCGATCTGGGAAAGCAGTAGCAAATTCCTTTCCAACTGCAAGGGCTACTCCATAGCCAGCCAA